TGTACGGACATTTTTCTCGGGCGCTCGCTCCCCCCTCCCTTCCTCTCCACATCCCCTTCCTGGCGGCCGCGGCCAATGGGGGCGGGCGAAGTGGGCGGGCCGAGCGCGGCGGTTGGGCGGCGCACCGAGCGACTCGGCGCTCGACCAATCGCCGCGCGGGGCTCCCCCCTCCCTGCGGCGGGGAGGGGCGGGATTTCCCGGGGAACAGAGAAGCGGGCAGCGTTCCGCCGCGGCGGCCGAGCGGCGGTTACCCCATCCGCGCCCCTCGCTTTCCCCGCGGGCCGAGCGCGGGGCCGCGCCCACCCCGAGCCCACAGCCGGGAGGGAGCGTGCCTCCGCCGGGCGCCGCCGCTTCGAGGTAAGGGGATCGGCGGCGCTGGGGGGACGCGGGGTTGGGAGGTGGTGTGGGGGGGTGGGCAGCCATCCGGCGGGGCGGGGTCGGACCCGGTGCCGTGGCGAGCCCTGAGTGCCGGTGTGCGTGCGTGTCTCTGTATGTGTGTGTGTGTGTGCGCGCGGGGGGAGCCCGGCATGGCGGGAGCGGCGGGCGGGGCGAGCGGCGCTGGGCGCGCTGCGGGACGGAGCCTCCCGCCCCCCGCTCCGCCCCCTGCGCGGGGCCGCCTCAGCCCCGCCTCGCCCCGCCCCGCTCAGCGCAACCCTCGCAGCTCCGGGCCCTGCCCACCACCCGTGCCTTTCCAGCTCCCGTTTCCTGCTTTCGCGTTTCTTCAGACGGTTCCCGGCGAGCACGCGGAGGGTTTCCGCGCCGCGCTGCCCGCACGCTGATTCAAAGCACCTGTAGGATCATCCCCATCCCGTAAAAGCACAGCGTTAGGAACAGCCGCACGGGGCGGAGGAGGCTGCCATCTCCCAGCCCGCACCTTCCTCCCCTCCACCCCTCCCAGCTGAGGGGCACCGTGAGTAAAGCTGGGGCTGCAGCGCGGGGAGGGGCCGGAAGGCACCCAGACCTCCCCTTCTACTCACACAGGTCCCTTCAACCCCAAATTCTGTGTCTCCTGAATGATCTATAGGGGATGGGGAGGCTGTATAGAAACCTTCAGCACGCCCAGCGAAGCGATGCATAAATAAGAATGCAATCCCTTTGCATTTAAGTATGCACAAGAGCACTGCTGTGAACAGGTGCTGTAAGAAATGGTTCATGCTGTGCTTGTGGCCAGCAGTCTCTGCTGTGAGCTCGTTGGAAAGGCATAACCATGACAGGAGCGAGTCACTCGCCTTCCCAGGATGTATGATCCATGCTCTGTGCTGGGAAGCCCTCGTGGCTGGTAAAGCCGAAGCAGATCCACAGTCCCGTGGCTGCTGTTCCACACTGCAGGGCTATGGGTGCACTCTCAATGCCGCGCCACTTTCTCCCAGCTCCTCTGGCTCTGCTGTCACAGTGAAGGTAATGGGTGGCTGCAGGTACTGCGCTCATCCTGCCTGCATGTGGAGAAGGAGAGCAAAGATGAGGATTCCAGGGCTTGGAGAGAGCCCACATAGCAGGGCATGCCAGGAGCAGGCAGCCAGGATGTCACACCTCTGTGATCCTGAGCCATATGTGTGCTGCTTCCCAGCTTTGGGTCCTTTCCACCTCGGGAGCAAACTCTCCTGTCTTTCGGTACGGCTCAATCCAGATGTTAATGCTTGAAATTCAAAGTGACAGCAACAGAGCTGTCAGTATGAGGATCTGTGCGTTTGGGTGTTCTTCAGCATGCTCAGACAGCAAGTGATGTGCAAAAGTGTGCCTGCTGCATAGGATTTTTCCTCATCTCTGGCGTTTAGTGGCATGAGTGCACCCTTTTAGAGGTTCATAGAGATTCACAGGGTGCCTGTGGCATGCTGTAGCCTCCTAAGGGCTTTTAAGCAGCCCCTGCACATCTTAAATGCTTGACCTACAGCTATGCTGTTTCCCTGTTCCATTTCAGGAGTGCCTCACATCTGCAAGGACTGAAATCTCTTGTGAGGTTTCACAGCTTGCTCTTGAAAGCATCATTAGTGTGCAGAAGTGCTGTGGCTCCAACAGGTGTCAGACAGCAGACCTGCACGATTCACTGCCCTCCTGCAAAGGGATAACTTACAGCCCAGGAAAAGGGAAGCGAAAAAGCAGAGTGCAGCTTTTGTCCTCCTGTGGAGGGGTATATTGCTGTAAAGGAGTGCTCTGACTGAAGTTAAAAGGTAGCTTGGATAGGAGTGAGGCTGGGAGGGAGGGGATGCAGGTCCTCATGTGGTCTGTGTAGAGTGGAGCTTGCTCTGTAAAGCCATTCCTGAGCCAGGAGCCTCAGATGAATGCTTTTAATGAAGGACAGTACCTAAAGTTTGTGGACTTGCTTTCAGTCTCACGCAGACCATACTGTATTTTTCAATCTTTATTTTTCCCTCCTCAATTAAGACCACAGATGATGCAGTTTGAACTGGGGGCTTTCTGAATGTTTGAGTCAAAGTCCGCATGGAGATGGGAGCCCATCAGAGGGCCGCGTTCCGCTGCCTAGAGAACCATATGGTAACCATAGCGCTGCCTGTGATGTCAGCTCTGTGCTGCAGAAGTTCTGAGTGGTTTTGTGGTCGTAGTTACCCACAGAATACTACTCTGCAGCAGGTACAGCTTGCTACGCTGCAGTCTGCCCTCCTGAAGGAGCAAATCCTTGGGACATACCTGGTAAACATCAGTGGGACCTCAGGGATGGGAGGAATGCACTTTGGGAGCTTTCACCAGCACGTGTTGCCCTGTGAGATGCAGGAGATGGGGCAGGTGCAATGCTTGGCTGTCGGCAGAGCCCAGGGCTTCAGTTCCAGGTTGTGGAGCCTTCTAGAAATGGTTGCCACCAAGGCTTTGCCCAGACTCGGTGCCTGGGGCCTGGCATTGTCATGCAAAGCGCCCAGATTTGCTGCCAGCCTGCTCTGCTTGGTCCAGGCTCCATTAGCATACAACTCGAAGTTTGTTCAGAGCAAAAGGCTATGAGAGCAGCTCCCTGTGAGCCCAGGGGGCTGTTGGTTTGTCTGTAGCTGAGCAGAAAGACACCTGGTGCAGGTACAACAAGCTAAGAAAATTCCTGGAGCATGCTCGGGTACTGAAGCTTTGGGGCTGGTATTCTGGGAGGTGTAACTTGCAGAACAGCTTTAAGCAGACACAAAGAGCTCTTCCTTCCCTCCACGTGGAAGGAGCTGGGTGAGGAGCTGGCTGCCAGGTGTATTTTTGGCAGTATCTTTGTATATTTCCCCAGTACCTTGGTCTGTTATGTTAGTGAAGGGTTTAGGCTGCCCTGTATGCTTACTCTGGGGAGCTGCGTGTGTTACCCAGGCAGAGTCAGCATCTCCATCTGGCTAAAAGTTTGATTTGGAGAGGGCTTGCTGTACAAAGGCAGCATGGGCAGTGTTCTGCCTCTGCCCTCCTCTTGTGCTCTAGGGCATCTCTGGTGCCTGAGTCCCATCCAGCCTGGGCTGCCCAACGGGGTTCAGGATGGGCTTTACTTCCAGTGACAGAAGAAATCCTTAACTGGAAAGCAGGGCTTTATTTCTAACAAGAAAGCTGCGTGTTTGCAGTATACACGTTTCATACAGAATGCTGAATCTTAATTCTTTCCCTATCTCAAGATAGCAACGTGAAGGAATCGACACGAAACTTGTCTTACCTGCTCCTGGCAAACTTGGCGTTCCCGAAGCTGGCAGGGAGCGATTAATCAATGTCCCTCTCTAATTGCTCTGTTTCTACCAGGTTTTTTAGTGCTTCCTGAGCATGAGTTCAGAATGAAGCGGCGATTGGATGAGCAGGAGTCACCCGTGTACACGTCGCAGCAGAGACGTATCACCAGCAGCACCGACGCTTTCCAGCACCAGCACCGTGTGCTCGCCCCGGCACCGCCGGTGTATGAGGCAGTCTCAGAGACCATGCAGTCTGCTACAGGGATCCAATACTCGGTAACTCCCAGCTACCAGGTAGGTCTGCCTCATCCTAGGGGGGAAATTGCAATTCGACCACTCAGTACGTTGTTTTGCACGGCGGAAGTCCGGGTTTGGGACAAGGTTTTAGTTTCAGTTGCCTGGTGGGGGAAAAAACTAGGATGGGACAATGAACTTCTAGTAGGTCTCGCTTGAAGGGTGGCCAGCAGGGACAGGGAGGTGATTGTGCCTCTCTAATCTGCCCCGTGAGGCTCCATCTGGAGTATTGCATGCAGGTCTGGAGCCCCCAACACAAGAAAGAGAGGGAGCTGTTGGAGTGGGTCAGAGGAGGGCCAGTAAGATGATGAGAGGACTGGAGCACTTCCCCTACGAAGACAGGCTGGGGAGCTGGGCTTGTTCAGCCTGGAGAAAAGAAGGCTATGAGGTGACCTCATTGCAGCCTGCAGTACCTAAAGGGAGCCTACAAACAGGAGGGGAATCAACTCTTGGAAAGGGGAGATAACAGCAGGGAAAATGGTTGGAGGAGGGAAGATTTAGGTGGATGTCATGGAGAAGTTCTTTACTGTGAGAGTGGTGAGGTGCTGGAACAGCAGCCCAGAGAGGCTGTGATGCCCTGTCCATCCCTGGAGGTGTGCAAGGCCAGGTTGGATGGGGCCCTGGGCAGCCTGGGCTGGTGTTAAATGTGGAGGTTGGTGGCCCTGCATGTGGCAGGGGGTTGGAGATTTGTGATCCTTGAGGTCCCTTCCAGCCCAGGCCATTCTGTGATTCTGTGAAGCACATTAAGGTTGCCCTGACCACACAACGTGATGTTACTTGGCTTCTTTTGAACAACACTCTCTTGAATGATTAAGATCACAGTCTCTGAATCCTAGAGACAAGTGCATGCAGAGATTAGATCCATGTTTCATTAGCAAGGAGAACACTTGCTGTAGCAGTGTTCCTGTCACAGACTTTGGATATCTTGGGTGATCTTAAGCTTAACAGGCTGACATTTAGATTGGAGCTTTTCAAGCAATTTAACTGTTAGAGAAGATGTCACCACAGGGTCGTTAGGTGCCTCTTTTTGTTCTGAGAGGCTTCCGCTGCTGGTTTTAAACTAAAAGAAAGGAGATTTAGATCAGATTTTATGTGGAAATTCTTTACTATGAGAGTGATGAGGCTCCAGCACTGCTGCCCAGAGCTGTGGGTGCCTCATCCATGGAGGTGCTCAAGGCCGTGGTTGGGCTCTGGGCAGCCTGAGCTGGGAGCAGCCAGCCTGCAGCAGGGGAATGGTGCTGGGGGAGGGCTCTAGGATCCCTTCCAACTTTTTTAGAGGGGAGAGACAGCCTTGGCTCGGTCTCAATCACGCACCCTGTGCGATTCTTCCTTCTGTTAGCACTGGTGATGAGACAAACACTCACGGTCCTTTCTGTCTCTCCAGGTGTCAGCCGTGCCACAGAGCTCAGGCAGCCACGGGCCGGCCCTGGCAGCGGTGCACAGCGGCCACCACCACGCCGCCCCGGTGCAGCCACATGGCAGCCAGGTGGTGCAGAGCCACGCACACCCAGCCCCCCCGGCTGTGCCTGTGCAGGGCCAGCAGCAGTTCCAGAGGCTCAAGGTAACGTGCGTGGGACGGCCCAAAGGTTTGGGGCTTGTCTGAATGCGTGGCCTCAGAGGGTGGGAGTGCAGGAGTGAGGTGGGAGTGCAGAAGGCTGTATTTTATATTCTGTAAAATCCTTAAAAGAGAAAAAACTCCACCAAAAGTAGCCCTTGTGAGTAGTTGTGTTAGATTCGGCTCTAGCAACAAGGCATACATATGAATTGATAGCTTGTCCCACATGCAGGGCAGGTCTCTTCCTGTCGAGCTGGAAACCAGTGCTTTGCTGGGCGAGACGCTTTTCTGCTTCATTTCCATTCCCCTCTGAAAATGGTTTTGTAACACGTGGTTCTTTCTCCCAACAAAACTGCTGGCTGTCCCTCCAAGATGCGAGGTTGGGACTGTCCCTGCTCACCTTTCCTCCCTTGCTGTCTTTTAATTCCCGACATGGGAGAGGGCCCAGGTGCAGCTGATTACAAACTGCACAGAGCACTCGTGTCAGGCTGGGCTGTGCTTTCAGTATATCTGGAAATTGGCTGTTGGTACACGAATGCTTCATAAACTTCTTGCTGTTTGAGGCGTAAAACAATTTGCCTCCCACAGTTGCCATTTTCAAAATCCTTATATGTCGAACTGAAATGTCTGGCTTTCAGAAAGTGTGTACCTGGCAGGCATCTATTCCTCTGAATATGTCATTTCCACTTTCTGCTTATTCTTAGACTTCTATAATAATTTCCACACATGAATGCAGGAAAAATGCTCAGTCTAGTTCTGTTTATCCTAGCAGTCACATCACTGGTGGTGACACGGGGAATTTGGAGCATGTGCCTTCTGACTAATCCTGTTGATTTGAGTTGTTTTTGGTTTATTTATTATTATTTATTTTTCTTCTTTTTGGTGTAGTTTTCTGAGCTTTTCTTATTTAAGTGATGCTGGTATGACTCCAACCAAGATCACGATCCTTAATTCCCCCTTCTAGGCTCAGGGCTCCCAGCTGTGCTTTCAAATACGTGTTTTGCTGAGCACCGGAGGTGACATAAAATGTTCTGTGCCAATGCAAGCTGTCTGTTTTGTCTCCAGGTGGAGGATGCCTTGTCATACCTTGACCAGGTGAAGCTGCAGTTCGGCAGTCAGCCGCAGGTCTACAATGACTTCTTGGATATTATGAAGGAATTCAAATCTCAGAGGTAAAAAGCTTCATTCTGCTGCTTCCACCCAGGCTGCTATCACTGTATGCATGTTTGTGGGCATGGCAGCACAGGGCAGGAGTTCAACTCTGCCCTTCCTTTCCAGAGCAGCATACCTCCGTGGTTGTGTGAAAGCAGTTGTGTGCTTTCTGTTCTGAGAGTCTGAGGATCTGTTCTGAGAGTTTCAGAATTTCTTCACTTATATCCATTTCTTCATTGATGCTGGAAGAATTGCTGCCTACAGCTGCAGTTCCCAAGCTCAGCCTTGCTAGCTGTTTGACCTGGCTGTCTGGTGGTCCTGCCCGCCTGCCTGGTCAGACTTGTGGCTAGATCTCATTGATATGAAGCAGTCTGAACAAATAAAATAATCCTTATGTCATTCTTAAGGTTGGCAATGTATTTATAGGAATGAGTTTCCCTGTGTTTCATGGGTTCATAGTAAGTTGTAGATGGTAAGATAGAAATGCGGAAGGAGAATTGTCGCACGCAGAGCTTGGGTTGCCACAAGGAGGGAGTTTGAAGATGGTGACATTCTGATTTTATTCCTTGCTCAGCATTGACACTCCAGGAGTGATCAGCCGCGTATCGCAGCTCTTCAAGGGCCACCCAGACTTGATTATGGGTTTCAACACCTTCTTGCCTCCTGGCTACAAGATCGAGGTGCAGACAAACGATATGGTGAACGTGACGACCCCGGGGCAGGTTCACCAGATCCCCACTCATGGCCTGCAGCCCCAGCCACAGCCCCAACCCCAGCATCAGTCGCAACCTTCAGCTCAATCGACCCCAACACCAGCACAGCCGGCGCCGCAGCCACCGCCTGCCAAAATCAGCAAGGTGAGAGTGAGAGAGTGGCGTTTGTTGGCTCCTGCGTGGGGGACTGGCTGCCTCCAGCTGACACTGGTGTGGAGGTGGGGAATTAAATGGGATTTGCTGCCTCGGGATGACCCAAATCCCAAGAAATTCCTCGTAAAGCAGAGGCCGTGATGGAGACGGTTCCCTCGATGTGAATGTTTGTGCGTGTTTCCAAATGCTTGGCGTAGTGACATGGTAAACATGGCATTGCTTAAAATCTCATTTTCAGACTGGCCAGCTGCTGCAAAACAAAAACAAACAGAAAGCGTAGTTCTGGTTCAGCCATCAGCTGGACGGGTGTGGGCATTGTTGACCAAACTGAAGTGCAAGGGTTCAAATAAAATGACCACAGTGTTGTCTTAAGTATCAGTTTGTGTGCCTGAAACTGAGACCTCTCAACGACAAAGGGATTTTGTCTCTGCTTTAGATGTAATCCAGATGCTGCGTCCACCATATGTATTTTACGTGATTGAAAACAGAGTAGGGTAATATAAGAGGCTTTTAAGAGCTCAGTTGAGATAAAATCCGGTGTATTTGAACCTCCAAATGTGCAAAGAAGGGAAAGAATCCCCAAAATTTCAAGGATTAATCAATCTCTTCTCTATGTACTCCTGGTCTCCATATTGAAAAATCTGTATCTTCTCTTGCTGTTTCCTTACTCCCAGCATTCTTAACTAGAGACAAAGTAACTTGCAGTGTTGCAGAGAGCCTAAATGCTTTGCTTCTGTATTTTGATGACTGAATGTATCTCTTGTCAGATCTCAGTCAAAAGCAAGTGGCAAGGAGAAACAGCTGCTCAGAAAAAGTTGAAGGGGCTGGTGTGGTGTCTTCCTGGCTGGCACACCCAATTTCTATTTATTTTTGGATAGTTTGCTTTGGATAGTGGCTCTCTTCTGCTCAGTCTGCCTTTTTTTGTGCTTCTGTTAATCTTTAAAACACTGATTGGGAAATGGGACCACGCAATTTTGGCTCTTGACAGCAGTTTTTGCTTAGACGTCTACTAGGGAGTATTGAGTTTGTGGAAGAGAGTGCTAAAATTCCCTAGGCCTGGGGAGGGAGTAATTATTTAGTAGCAATTAATGAAAAAAACCAAACCAGTATTTTAAGGAAGCACATCAGAAATCATCTAGGAATATGGGTAGAGATTGCTTGACAGGGTGTAGTAGTGGCAAATGTCCAGCTGCTGTGCCTGTGATGCTTCAGCTCAGAGATGACCCTGTTGGCACCCTGTACACTTACACACCATCTCGTTTCTTCAGGATATGGCACGTAAGTGGGATACGAGTGCCTTTGTTCAAAGCCTAAAGGATCTGCCCTTGTCTGACGTGGCTCCTTCTTTCTCCCCTCAGCCATCACAGCTGCAGGCACACACACCTGCCAGCCAGCAGACCCCCCCAATTCCACCATATGCGTCCCCACGCTCACCACCAGTGCAGCCTCACACACCCGTGACAATCTCTCTGGGAACCACACCATCCCTGCAGAACAATCAGCCCGTCGAGTTTAATCACGCCATCAACTATGTCAACAAGATCAAGAACCGCTTCCAGGGACAGCCAGACATCTACAAAGCCTTCCTGGAGATCCTCCATACGTATCAGGTGAGCTTTGGCAGTGCCAGGTGGAGTCGTTCCACTTTCTTTGCTGCCTGAGATGGGAATTCTGGTCTTCTGCTGGACTTCTTTGTGTAGATCTTTTCCAATGTAAATAATTATTTGCTTACCACTGGCTCGCAAGCTAAGCGGAGCTCAATTGTGTTAAAAGTGAAGAATCACTTCTTTGATCAGCATCCCCCTAGTCCACAGCCAGCTGAGCATTTAGCACAGTCCTTTGCTTTAGATGCTGAGACCTTTGCTGCTTCATTCTGTGTATTACTGAGGGCTTTTTTCCTTTGTCTCCGAAAAAGTTCAGACATCTTTTCATCTGACCCTTCTCTTTGTACGACAGAAAGAGCAGCGCAATGCCAAGGAGGCAGGGGGCAACTACACACCAGCACTGACGGAGCAGGAGGTGTATGCACAGGTGGCTCGCCTCTTCAAGAACCAGGAGGATCTGCTCTCAGAGTTTGGGCAGTTTCTGCCAGATGCCAACAGCTCGGTGGTGAGTCTACTTGAGGCAGGCTGGGGCTGGAGTACGTAGTGGGGAAGCATCTCTGTGGGGAACCAGAGCTCAGAACAACGGGCTTTTCTTGTTGCCTTGCGTTTTTGGAGTGGTCTTTTACTAAGTTTAGGAGGTGGGTCGGGATGATAGACTGTTTTCTGTCAATAACTTGTCTTTTCAATACAATTCCTTTGCTTGGAAGGCTTGTTCTGTAACCGCAGTAAGGTAGGTGGGTCACCTCGAGCTGGGAGGAGCAGACATATTAGGGTTTGGCTGGTGAGGTGAAGCTCGGCTCTGATGATCTCGTGGCTTTGTTTGTAACTAAGCTGTTAAGCAAGACGACTGCAGAGAAAGTGGAGTCGGTGAGAAACGATCATGGAGGCACAGTGAAGAAGCCACAGCTCAACAACAAGCAGCAGAGACCCAACCAGAATGGCTGTCAGATCCGGCGGCACTCAGGAGCAGGGACAACCCCTCCAGTGAAGGTAATGGCACGTGCTGCTAGCTCAGCAGCTGTGTGTTTCCCAGGAAACTAAAGCAAAACTTAGAGCAGGATCATGCTTATTCATTTTTCACGTGATAAACGTTGTCATGCAGTGATGAATGATAATTCCTGTAGCTGAATTGGCCCTCTTCAGCTTACTCATGTTTTGAGAGAGCAAGGCTTAGCCTTGTCAGAAGAATGGTTTGGTGGTTTAGAGCCTCTGCAGTAGGACAGGTGTGCCTGCTTTGTGTGCTGTGTCCTGTGGGGGGAAGAAAAGTGTTGGCACATCTAGCTATGTTGTTTAAATCCAATGACTTCCTTCCTCTTCCAGCTTCTCTCCTCGAAATGCAGCGAATTAATACATGTTTGGAGGCAGCTTTAAGCCTTTCTGATGTGGAGTGCAGGAGGTAGAAGTTCACTGCTTTTAGGGAGGTCTAAGAATCAACTGAATGAATGGTGGTTTAAAAAATATTTTGGTAGTTCTGCACATTAGTTAGAAATTGAGATACTACAAGCAGTGATTGTTTCAGTCAGCTTGTTAAAGGAAAGGATATGACCTTGTATTACAAATACATGGCGTTCTGTGCAGCTAATTAAAGATGAATAGATTAACATGGAGGCCACATTTTAAACAAGTTTCCTTCTGAAAAAGCCACTCTTCTGTCTGAGAGCAAGTAGTGTGGTTTGGAGGCTGAAGCCCTTGTGTGATACATGGTCGAAATACAGTGACTCCTCTGCTGAACAGCCCTTTCTTGTGTTATTTTTTAACAGAAAAAACCAAAGCTGCTTGGTTTAAAAGACCAGTCCTTGGCAGAAGCCAGCAAGCATGGCGTGGGGACAGAATCTCTGTTCTTTGAGAAGGTGAGCAGTGAGACTGAGAGAGCACGGTCTGGTGTCACTGATTGATGTCTGTAGCCTGCATACATCCTGATCTTTGTTTTTGTCACAGTGAGGTTTGTGATATATGTGCCATGCTGATAACATTGGTCTGCTTGACCTCAGCTGTATTGTCTGACCCCTGTGTCAGATCTGCTGCCTTTTTTAAAAGATTGGTGGTGTTCTTTACATGGACATCTGTGTCTTTTCTTTTTTTCCCCGGGGGGCTCATTCTCTAGTTCTCACCTGCTGCTGATGCTCTGTGGCAGAAAGGCTTGGCATCAGAGCCATGCTGGCTCCCTCATGACGTATGTTTTGCAGCACACTGAGCCAGCTGGTGGTGACTGGGAACCACTCTATCGCTCGGAGGATGCGTAGGTGTTCCCATGAGTAAACGTAGAAATCCCTGCTGCAGAACTGTAACTGTAATGACGAGTTTCTTAATCATGATAGATCTGTTTGATGTGTAGATGCTAACTGTTCTCATGGGAAAAGTAATGGTGTTGGAATGAATTGCTGTTTTCTCGTGCTGAGGGCTGCAGAGCTCCCTGTGCCTGTGGTGACTTGAGCTGTCATGCGGGGGGGGCTGGAGGGGTGCTCACTGACACGGGCCTCTTAGCCCTGATCCCCACCCAGGTGGGTCTGTGGTGCTGCAGGCACAACTGGGCTTGTGTGGTCCAGCTGCTGGGAGTTTCATTCACTTACAGCTCTCTTCTTCAAGGCAATGCACTTGAGTGGCAGCCATACCAGCAAGGAGATGGCTTCCTTCTCTTTTCTGGCTCCTTGGAGCCTCTCCGACAAAGTCCTGCATAGGTGGGGGGAAGCACAGTGTTGAACGCAGGCCTCCTGGGTGCTGATGGGCGAGCTGCTCTCACCTTTATCCTTTCCCCTCTTCCCCAAGGTCCGCAAAGCTCTGCGAAGCACAGAGGCATATGAAAACTTCCTTCGGTGCCTGGTTATTTTCAACCAGGAGGTGATCTCCCGTGCAGAGCTGGTGCAGCTAGTTTCCCCATTCCTGGGGTAAGTGCTTCTTTGTGTGAGGGGGAAAAGCTAAATCCAGTGCATCTTTTTGTGATGCACAGTAGGGAAAGAAATGCCAACAACCTTTGTGGCTGCGTGGTTCGTATCACAGAATTAGTCCACAGCACCCTATTGTGGCCTCTTGCTCTGGAATCATAGATATTTCACTCAAGAAAAGCTCAACTGTCCAATTACACAGGAAATGTCCCCTAAAAAAAGGAGTGCTTATACAAACCCATTAAAATTACCAAAAAAAAAGCAAAGAGCAACTGAGTTTTGCCCTGAAGCCAAACCTGATAATCAGTACTGTCATTTAAATAGAAATTATAACTTCGAGTACTGTACAGAATGAGTCTGTATTAATCACCTAAAATCACTGTAATAATTATCCTCTCATCAGCTTGGGGCAACTCTGTTTCTGTGATTTGAGCTCCTAGTTCCTATGCAGAAGGCAGCAGCAATGTAAGTTGGGTTCGGGACCCCATTACGCTGGTTGCTGTGCAAGGAAAGTGCCCCAGGGAGCTTATGCTTTCTGCAGCTCCACTGGAATTAGCATCAGCAGGAAGCTGGTTTTGGCTAGGAAAGGTGAAATACTCAACCAAAAAAATCTGCATTTCTTCCATTTACCACCTGTGCTCCCGACTGGAATATCTGCATTGGGAAAGGTGTCATGCAGTTCCCTTACTCTGAAGGCAGACGTTACCTTCAGTCATGTAATGGAGGAGCAATAGATGAGCAGTGATTCCAGCAACAGGTCTGATTTCTCATAGCACTGCAGCTTTTCACCACCTGACCAACAGACAGGTACTTGGTTCCCACTTGGTGGAAGTGGGATTGAGCAGAGAGGTCCTCTCACCAAACTGCTAAATCAGGGAGTCTTCTTGGGCAACTTCTGTGTCTTGCAAGCAGTTCTAGCCTCAGTATCACAGCTCAGCACTGCGCACTGCTTTCTATTTAGCTAATTTTTCACTTCATTCCTTTTATTTCCAGGAAATTCCCCGAACTGTTCACTTGGTTTAAAAACTTTCTGGGCTACAAGGAGTCCGTTCACATGGAGACTTATCCCAAGGAACGGGCCACTGAAGGGATTGCCATGGAGATAGACTATGCCTCCTGTAAAAGGCTGGGCTCCAGCTACCGAGCCTTGCCCAAGAGCTACCAGCAGCCCAAATGCACGGGGCGGACACCGCTGTGTAAAGAGGTAAGCAGCTCCCAGGCAGCAGCCGTGTGCCAGAGGAGGGCTGTTCACAGCACAGCACGTGAGAGTGCTCAGCTCTCTTGCAAACATGTGGATTGGATCCAGGATCTATTTCCCAGGGTGAAGCTGTGCCAGATGCAGTGCCCGTGGGGCTTTGGTGGCTGCCCTCTGCTTTTCTCCAGTGGGGATTCTGAAGGAGTTGCACAAAGCATTGGGGAGTGTCTGGAAAAGAAAGAACCTCAATAGCTGTGAAGTTTAAATACTTCTACCAGGGAGTATGTAATTCAAGGTGGTTGCTGCCTTTTTCACCAAACTCTTGCTTGGTCTGCTTTCAGAGTTATCTCTAGTCCAAGCTTACAAGAAAATCACATCTTCTGTACAGAGTTTCTCCTTCATGTTCCTCTCACGCTTCTTTCTTTCCACCTGCAAGGCTGAGGTGAGCCGACATGGTGCGCTGTGTCAGGAGGTTGGCTCCCCATCGCAAGCCTTGTTGGCCTAGGGGCAAAGCTGGCCTCCTGGCACAGCACTGCAGGACCAGATGCACTCCTTGGGTCCCTTCATGTAACCGCCTTTTGGTTGGAGAGGAATGGTGCTGGCTGATCCTGCTCCTTCGTTGGTGTTAGAATCCCCCTTCCTTGCGTGACTGCCGTCAGCAGGGAGAGCAAACAGGCAGAAGATTTTGGAACATCACAGTTTTGCCTCCTTTCCTTGAGAAATGAGGATGAATGCAGTGATCAAGTCAAGTGGTGAGCAGTGATACATGGCTAATTGTAATGATGGCAGGATAGCAAAAACAACTCGGGCAAGAAAGAATTATAAGTTTTTAGTCAAAGTCCTGACACATCTCTCAAGAGTATCTTGTGTGATGCAGCTGTAAACTTTTCTTTCTGCAAGAATCCAATGTCTCAGTTGTTCAGACTTCAGTCTGAGGAAAATTAGGCTTGATTTTTTTCAAGATTGCCTACCAAAATCTTTTGTTCTGTTGCTTTTGGCCTCTTTGAGGTTGCTTTGGATGGTCCATTCCTGCTTTGGAGGTAATGAAAAACTGCAGGTTCTCAGCCTCTTTGTCAGAGTATGGATTGATATTCCTTATTTGGAGGTAGAAACCACGCTGTGTCTAACGGTGCTGGTTGGGATGATGACCACCCGGTGAATGAATCAGACATGTGATGAGTGAACCACGGTGAGCCAGTTCTTCCAATGGAATGGAAAGGCTCCTTTCACCTCTCTTTTTCTCTTCCCTTGCAAGTGTTTTCTTACATTTCCAGTAGATGAGTTTTCCAGGCCGCTGGGTTGTTTCATCTCTGGCAGTTTGGGGTTGCCCCATGGGTGCTGGGCGTCCTCTGCACTGGAAGGGAGAAGCCATTTTTGCTGCTCCCCCATCAGCAGCCACGTACCTCTGTGACACTCCCCTCCCAAGACTGACTGTCACGCTTGTCTTTCTCTGTCGTACTGCAAGGTTTTGAATGACACCTGGGTCTCCTTCCCTTCCTGGTCTGAAGACTCAACTTTTGTGAGCTCCAAGAAGACACAATACGAAGAGCACATCTACAGGTGTGAGGATGAGCGTTTTGAGGTAAGGTCTTTTCTTTGGAAGCCTTGGGGTTCTGTGGATAGCTAATGGTACAGATTCTATCCTTAATGCAGTCTGTTTTTATTGTCTATCACACGTTCTCTGCATAAGAGCTTGCATTATCTGAAAGCAAGAGGCAGCATCTGGTTAACCACTTCTCTTTCCAAGCTACCACCCCTGCCCAAGCTCTGTGCACCGAGCTCTTCTCTCACATCACTCCAGATGGAATTGTTCAATGGACAGCATATAATCAATGCATCTTTTTTTGCCCTTTGTGCCCACATGGCTTGTAAGAACATGCATTCCCCTGTAATAATCCAAGAAACGATACGTTCAGGATGTTAAATGATTGACTTCTTGACATAAAATGAGAGTTAGCTTGGCAATTACCTCAATGTGCTCAGGTCTGTCAAGTCCTTTTGTAGAGGAACTGTCAGTTGTTTTCTACTCCCATATGGAAAATGTAATTTCTTAACAGCATCGTTCTGGTAGACGTTAAATTCTGATTTGCCATTACCTAGGCTGCAGATAAAATATAATTGGATTATTTCAGCGCAGCCAAACGTGGAAACCAGTTCTGGAATCCACCTTGTTAAACGCACCCGGCTTCTTGTTTCGTGTCGCTTTAGTGTTAGTCTCTGTGAAGTATCATGTTCTATCTATTCAACTCTGGCTAACGCACCGTTCGCTTCAGCTGGACGTCGTCTTGGAGACCAACCTGGCAACGATCCGCGTCCTTGAGGCCATCCAAAAGAAACTCTCACGTTTGTCTGCTGAGGAGCAGGCCAAGTTCCGCCTGGACAACACCCTGGGAGGCACCTCGGAGGTGATCCACCGCAAGGCCCTGCAGAGGATATATGCAGACAAAGCAGCTGACATCATTGATGGGCTCCGGAAGAACCCATCTGTTGCTGTTCCCATCGTCCTGAAAAGGTACCACAGCCACGCTGTGCCCTGGGGGCTCCGCCTTGCTCCACGGTTGTTTAGAAACAGCTCATTTCTGCCCCTGGAGGGTTTAAGCTGCGCAGGGATGCAATTGGAGAAAGGCATTCCGTTCTGATCGGTGGCCGTGTTTTATAACAATCGCCTTTGGAAACACAAACGCTCAGCTGGGGGGGGATGCAGAGCTTTTATTGTCTGCTCTGAACCTTGTTTCTTCTCCAGCCTGTGCACGGCAGCTTATGTAAGATGAGGAAGATGTCTGTGCCATGTGGATTGTTTAGGGCTGAACCCAATCCCTTTCCAAATCCCATGGCTGTGCGTGGCTCTGACTGCTCAGGCACCATTAGTTTTCTCTTGTCAGATCCTTGCAACCAATCACAAAACAAAAAGGAGCGGGGGCTGCAGCTCTTTGGAAATGCATAAAGAGGAGGCTGTGTACACATTTAAGACAGTAATGTGAGGCCCTTATCCTCTTGGTGTGTAAACAAGGAAGTCTTCTCTAAAAGCACAACTGTAGCACCACGTACAAGGAGGTACTCTTCCCCCTAAAGCTTACTGTCTCTGGGAAGGGAAACCACTTTGCCACCAATACCTGAAAGGTCACAGTGTGCCCACCCTGCTGCAGGCACTGTTTTGTGAGCTGTTCTGGCTGTGCTGCACCAGGTGCTTTGCTTGAGATACTGAGCTGAGTTTCTGGATTGTGTAACCAGGAAGCTCAGGTGTCCAAAGATGTGCAGAGAGCTTTGTTCAGCAAAGGGTGTGCAGAGTGCGGCTCCTGTAAAACTCCTTTCAGTGGGACTGCTTTCATTGATGCATATTTCCCAGGTCTCAGGCTTTCCTCACAAGCTCGGAGTGAGACCTTTATGTCTCTTAGCTCACCCTTGGTTTCTTGATCCAAGGTTAAAGATGAAAGAGGAGGAGTGGCGAGAAGCCCAGAGAGGATTTAATAAAGTCTGGCGAGAGCAGAATGAGAAGTATTACCTGAAGTCCTTGGACCACCAGGGCATCAACTTCAAGCAGAACGACACCAAGGTCCTGAGGTCAAAGAGTCTCCTCAATGAGATTGAAAGCATCTATGATGAGGTAAGATGGTCACCAGTGGTTTCCTTCCCTCAAGCTTATATAGTCTGTATGTGCAGTTTCAGTTCCTTTCCTCTTGATGCTGGTGTGGTTGGGAAGTGGGATGCTCAGCCATGGAAAGGCTGCGCTCTCTGTGTTGGGATATCTGCTTGTGGCTGAGGAGGCTTGTCATCCTGCTGGTAGCAGGTGGGCTCTGTTCCTAGAACAGAAACGGGGTGGAGGAGGTTTGTAAACAGGGAGAATGTTTGTGAACTTTTGGCATCTGTTACAGAGAGCCTTCTGGCAGCAGTGGGAGGGAGGCCTGATGCTTCCTCTGTTGCGAGGGGGTGTAATGAGAGAGGAAGTCTGTGTCATTGGGAGAGCTTTCTGAGGGCTTGTGGGCAGAGGGAAGTGCTTGGGGGACTAATTTGTGTCCTGTTTGTCGCTTGTAGAGGCAAGAGCAGGCTTCAGAAGACAACGCTGGGGTTCCCACAGGCCCGCACCTCTCGTTAGCCTATGAAGACAAGCAGATCCTGGAGGACGCTGCTTCCCTCATCATCCACCACGTGAAGCGGCAGACGGGAATCCAGAAAGAGGACAAGTACAAAATCAAGCAGATCATGTACCACTTCATTCCAGACCTGCTGTTTGCCCAGCGAGGTGAACTCTCAGACGTGGAAGAGGAGGAAGAAGAGGAAATGGACGTGGATGAAGCTACCGGAGCTGCAAAAAAGCACAACGGTGTGGGGGGCAGTCCTCCCAAAACCAAGCTGATGTTCAACAACACGACGGCCCAGAAGCTGCGGGGCATGGATGAGGTCTACAACCTCTTCTACGTGAACAGCAACTGGTACATCTTCATGAGGCTGCATCAGATCCTGTGCTTGCGGCTGCTGCGGATCTGCACCCAGGCCGAGCGGCAGATCGAAGAGGAGACACGGGAGAGGGAGTGGGAGAGGGAAGTGCTGGGCATCAAGCGAGACAAGAGCGACAGCCCCGCCATCCAGCTGAGGCTGAAGGAGCCAAGTGAGTGATCCTGGGGGCACACAGGTGCTTCTGTTAGCAGTGTGTGTGCTGACAGTGCTGGCGCGCTGTCTCGGACGTGCTGCAGTGTGACACTACGATGGGCTTTTACTGTCTTTTACTGTCACTGGGCAGCAGGGAGTTGAGATGGGAAGATGTGAGGCAGGAGGGAGTCGCAGCAGAACAGAACCATGCAGCAGTTGTTTCATGAGAGCTTTAATTGCACCCTTGCTTATCTAAAGCATCCTTGAGTCCCCTAATGACAAACTTTCTAAAAGCCTTTCGGAACCAGAGACCTCATGGAGGAGGCTGGAAGAGTAGAGGATGTGAGAGTACCCATGGCTTAAAGGTCTTTAAAAGATATGACAAATTCCAGTAGCAGAGCTGGCTGAAGGCTGGAGCTCTTGCTCCATCCTGTCCTAGGAGGAGTGGGAAGGGCTTTCCTGGCATTCCATGCTCACCCCTCTTGCTCTTGTGTTGCAGTGGACATCGATGTGGAGGATTACTACCCAGCATTCCTGGACATGGTGCGTAACCTGCTGGATGGGAACATGGACTCGTCGCAGTACGAGGACTCCCTGCGTGAGATGTTCACCATTCATGCCTACATTGCCTTCACCATGGACAAGCTGATCCAGAGCATCGTGCGGCAGGTGGGTGCTGGCTGGGCTGGGGCTGGGTGCCAGGCTAGAGGAGGGAAGGTTGCTTGTGTCCCTGAGTGAGTGCTGGTGTGTCGGTCACCTAGACGTGGCATTTTGGGGAGAAGCAGCTGAATTGCAGATGTGCTTTAACTCAGCTTTGAGCCTGCTTGAAGGAGAGGTGATGAAAGGTAACTTCTGGTGTGTTTAAATTATCACGAATATCCTTTTTCTGCATGTGGACTTCTCCCTTTGTTTTCCTGAAGCTTTAGGGATATAAGTTTTCCACTTGAAAGCATTTGTGGAGCTAATCTTGCCTTAACTTTGAAAAAGAATTAAATAGCATTTAAATAGTTTCCTTCATTCTCTTCAGTGCTATGAGAGCAGCGCGTGCCTTTTCTAAAAAGCTTTGTCTCTTTTATCTGCCCGCTTGAGGAGCTCAGGCTGGTTGTTACATTCTAGTCCTCTTATTGGGCACATAGAAAGAATGTGTGACCAAGGGAAGAATTCTTCATGCGCCTTTTTGCAGCGTAAAGAGCAAAGCCAGATGCGAGAGGCAGGGAATGGGATTGCTTGAAAGGCCATTCCTTGTTGGAGCAGCGTTTCAGAAGCTCTTGGTTTCAGTCCAGAGCTTAACTGAATTGAAAAGACAGTTGAGCGATTTCCGATTTTTAACTTGTACCAAGTGAGGTATCATATCTCTCCCTGCTGTCCTCACAGACAGTAGCAGCCCCATGCTGAGAACAGCACAGCCCTTCCCACCTTGCTGCTGCTTACAGGCTTTCCTGCACGTAGTTTTTTCCTCTTTTTGCCACCTGCTTTTTTTAATTTAGAAGGCAGTGCTGTTTTTTTTGTTTTTTTTTTCACATCCCCACTGGAAGAATTTACTGAACATGTAGCCTTAAACTCATGCTTTTATAACCTTTTTTTATCCTTTTTTTTTTCCCATAGGGCTTAAGCACTTGGTTACATCTTTGTTTCTTGCTATTGTATGCTGATGGGCACGTGGCAGCCTCCAGCCAACGAGTCCATCCTTATCCACTGTAGCTTTTATTTCTAAAACCTGCAATGCAGGCAAATAGAGATGTACGTGCAACCCTGTGTGCTGCTCTTCTTTCATGCCAGGTGCCACTTACAAAGGGTGTTTTGGAGCCTTTCTCACTTTCCCAGCTGGTTCTTGCACTGAGGGTTTTGGTAGGTCGCCCTGGTTTGCATGTCACAGCAAGCTCTCCCAGATGCCTCAGGCGAAGAGAAATACCTTTTGCAAGAGGATACACCGAGCACAAAAGTGTTTGGTCTCTTTTTTTTTTCAGCCTGGCTTTAACAGCTCCCTCACGCTCACTCTCCCCTTGCTCTTCCTTTTGGCAGCTCCAGCACATAGTGAGCGATGAGATCTGCGTGCAGGTCACAGACCTCTACCTGTCAGAAAACAACAACGGGGCCACAGGAGGCCTCCTGGCTTCACAGTCCTCTCGGAACCTTCTGGAGGCCACCTACCAGCGCAAAGCTGAGCAGCTCATGTCGGAGGAGAACTGCTTCAAGGTAGAGCTTGGTGGGAAAGCAGCGAGCAAAGAAGGGCTTGCTTTGTAAAGTAGGTGCCAGTCCTTTGAAAACGGAGCACAGGTTAAGCATCCAAGAGCCCTGAGGTTTCCACAGCTACAGAAAGCCCGGAAAGTTGAAAGGAAAGTTTTGGTGCTGTGCCCCCAAACTTCAGCACTGCTTTGGTGGTATTTCCAGCACATCATCAGCTGCTCCGTGGCAGAAACTGCATCAGTCCCAATAGGCAAAGTGGAACAGCACGCAAGGATGTTGATGCTTCACGTCGACTGATTTGCTGTCTCCCATTTGAATTTGTTAGCTCAAACTTTCCCATTTCTCTTGTGTCTCAACCTCTGTGGGCTGTGGAAAGATCTGCTAATACCAATTGGGCATTAAATCACTGCTGACTGTACGCATGGATGAATAAAGGTGGTGTGCTGTGCTAATCAAATCCATGCTTTCTTTGCTAAGATGCAGGAAGTGGTCAGGCCCTTTCTGAGCTAGCACAGTACTCTAGAGAAAAGTCTGTGTGGATAATCTCTCTACCTTCAAACTTAGGTTGGGGGCTCACGAGAGACCCGTGCTTCTCCAAAATCAACACAAAAGGACTTTTCCAAAAGCTTGAACGTTTTTCTGTTCCTCAAAGAGTGTGCAGTGCTGCCAGCACTTTCCCTTTGCTGGCAGTAATGCAGGGAGCAGTTTTTTGCCTTAAGACTGTGCAAGCTGCTTCATTGTCCCTTTGCCTCAGAGAGAAGTGGAGGGGTATATTTTTTCTGTTTGAAACCTCACTGAATCCCTTTTGCCTTACAGCTGATGTTCATCCAGAGCAGAGGCCAGGTTCAGTTAACCATTGAACTGCTGGACACAGAGGAGGAGAACTCTGATGACCCTGTAGAAGCAGAGGTAAGAGCTGCTTGGCCACAGAGCTGACTGTGATGGTCGAGGGTGCACTGGATGAGGATGTCCAGTCAGTTGTTTGCACAAGATAGAGACATCAACAAAGCATTGCAAAGCTTTCAATGATGTGAGTAGGTAAATCCTTCTTGGTTTATTTTATATTAGAGAAGCCAAAAAACCACAGAGAGAAGCACCGTACCTGCCTTTGTAGGAATGAAATACAGGGAGCCTTCGGAGGTGTCCCGGTGCTCTCCTGTGTGACTTGCAGCTCAGCCTCCTTATCACCCCACGTGTTTCAGTGGGAAAGCAGTGTCTGATGTTGCTGTGTGCTCACTTCCAGCGCTGGTCAGACTACGTGGAGCGGTACGTCAACTCTGACTCTACCTCCCCTGAGCTCCGGGAGCACCTGGCCCAGAAACCTGTTTTCCTGCCCAGGTGAGTGGCCAGGCTGTGGGGTGAACCCTCCCCAGTGGGTTTGTCCCTTGGAGGGCAGAGGGTTGCACTCTCCTGAGCCTTTGGTCTCACCTGTGTTTTAATGCCACTACAGAAACCATTACCCTGGCAGTGTGGCATAGAGGTACCGTGCTGCTGCTTGTCCAGAAAGCCTGTGGGTCCACCCTGGGCTCCTGCTCTCCAGTGACTGAGAGATGGCATGATCTGCAGATGGCAGAGAGGGTGAGGGCTGGGGACTTGCCAGACTGCTTTCTGGCACTCCTGCCTTGGTTTACCTAAAACAACCCAGTGCTACACCAGGGAACTGATTGCAAATAACCATGGTTTCAGAAGTAAATAAATCCCATGGGGCGACTTGTTGTAGGGGCCTGGACCTGAATGAATTTAATACAAACTGTTGGTCAGGTTCTTGAGGGGCCAGCGCAGATCCACCAGCTACTTCCAGCCTAGCAGTCCTAGAGGGTGGGCACTAATTCCAAGAGGGATTCTCTGGTTTGCAGGAATCTGAGGCGGATCCGTAAGTGTCAGCGTGGTCGGGAGCAGCAGGAGAAGGAAGGGAAGGAGGGAAACAGTAAGAAGTCCATGGAGAACGTGGAGAGCTTGGACAAGCTGGAGTGTAAATTCAAACTGAACTCCTATAAGATGGTGTACGTGATCAAATCGGAGGATTACATGTACAGGAGGACTGCTCTGCTGCGAGCTCAGCAGGTAGGAGAGAGTGCAAGGACTGGGGTGGGCAGCTGGGCTTTCCTGGGACCTCTTGCTCCCGAAGTGAGGTGGGGAAAAGTCAGATGGAATGTCCCTGGGGGGTCCTAGGGTAACATTTAGCAGTCTTTGTGTTGCCAGGAGGATGGTGTGCTATTCTGTCTTCCCCAGACACCAAAAATGTACTGAATGTTCCTAAGGTGTAATCTCTTCTTCGTGCCTTCTACTCTGCTCATCCTGTTGCCTCTGTCCTTCTTTCCAGAGTGTGTTATTGTGGTAGGACAGTGGTTTTGACCATTAGCTCCTCAATTTTTTTCCAAGAGGCATTTTCCCTGCATGGTGGTCCCCCCGTTTTAGGGAAGACCTGTCCTCTGCATGCAATTGTAATGCCTTTTGAGGGGATCTGTTCTTCCAGGGCTTCTCCACTGAGAAATCAGAGTGCAGAGCATCAAACTTTCTCTGTCCCAGCCAATCCTTCTGGGTGCTATCCCTCAGCCTTTCCTGTCCCCAGTCACTGAGTGGGAGTCCTCTGGTCGCTCCTGCATGGCAGAGCCCCACACACACATGCAGTGGCTGCTCTGTAACCACTGCTTTCGTGTCAAGGACAGGTGCAAGGGAGCTCACAGCTCCACAAATCACCATGAGCTTTTTCCTGGGGATCTGAAATCCTGATCTCAAGGAGTGATTTGGGTGGAGAAAACTGGGTAGGTGCTCAGAATGCTCTGACACTGTTCTCATGTCGCATGGGAATATTTCTGCCTAGCAGAGAAAACCTCTGGAGCTTTAAGAACAAACTCCAGTTAGGATGGCTGTTTAGGCTTGAAGTTTCAAGTACTTTGCTCTAATATTATTACAATCTACTTAAAACTAAATGTTAACCAGAGAGCCATTGCTTAGGATGTCAAAAGAAAGTGAAAAGTGCCAGACTTTGGTGAAAGCTGCTGGCTTAGGCAACCAGAAGCAGAGGTACCTGGGGGGCTCTGTCAGCAGCAGTGTCTCCTGTAGCTGCAGATATTGGGTTTCTGTTTATTCAATTATTGTCTTCCTGAGTGAACTCCTGACCGCTGAGAAAATTGGCTGGGAGATGAGGGAGTGGGAGAAGTGTCCTCTGCTTCCTGCCTTGGAAATCATCCCTTCACAGCTCTGTTGGACGTTTATTTAAACCTCTAAAACGACTGCTCTCATCTGTTTCTTGCTGATGAAATACAAGTAATGGTTTTATTCAATTAGCTGTAATTTTGTTAAACTCACATTCACATCAGATAAGAGTATTCTGTTTCAGTATTGGGTCTTTGAAATGCCAATACTAAAGATTTTGATTGATTGAATTCCATCTACCCAATTCAATTGGCTCAGGGTTGTAAAAGTTACCTTATAAGCAGGATATCGTGTGCTGGTGCTTATCACAGAGCATCTTAACCTAGTCAGAATCCTGAACCTCTTACACTATAGCACGCAGTATAACTTCTCAGTATGCTGAAGGAACTGCAGAAGCTACACTTAACCACAAACCTGTTGGACTACGTGGTGGGATACAAGAAAATACATTTTAAATTTAAAAAGAAAAAAGACAGAAAAAGAGCACCGTGACAGAATGGCCTGTTTTTGACACGATCTTTTGGTATTTCCGAGTTCTTTTTGTCCTGTAATTCTCTTAGAGGTAGACTTCTTGGAAGGAGGCCTGTGGGCCTTTCCCAGGACCTTCCCTCTGTCGCTAGCAAGGGCCAGCACCTGCCCTGCAAATCTTTTGGCCATACTGCCTCGCAGCCTGGCCTCTTTGCCACGCGTTACGCCGTAGCTTGGGGCTGGAGCCACCTCTCTGTAACACCTCTTTGTTTCTGTAGTCCCATGAAAGAGTGAGCAAGCGGCTGCACCAGAGGTTCCAGGCCTGGGTGGACAAATGGACCAAGGAGCACGTCACCCGCGAGATGGCAGCCGAGACGAGCAAGTGGCTAATGGGCGAAGGGTTGGAGGGCTTGGTGCCCTGCACCACCACCTGTGACACAGAGACCCTGCACTTTGTGAGCATTAACAAGTACCGCGTCAAATACGGCACAATATTCAAGACACCGTAAATGCCCTGGGCCAGGGAAGATCCCGGGAGATGTGTGTGTGTGCGTGCGCATCAAGGAAACGAGGAAGATGCCTTTCTCCCCTCACTGTGTATCTCCGTAACGTGGCCACTTGATTAGTGTGTGGCTGGTACAAGCTGTCACCAGCGGGATTCTCTGTAGGAACACGGGTGTCCCAGCACCTGCTGGGCGCCCTGCCCGCCGGCCCTTGGACTTCAGCATGCACCCCACAGGGAAGGACCCTCCTGAACTTGAGCGGTCCTGGAGAGACGCAACGAGCTCATACGCACCAGCAGTGTTGAGGCTTTATTCCCCGGTGGCCTGAGCAGCGAGGGAGGAGAAATGGAGGAGGCTCTCCACCGCCTGACCGCCTCGGTGGTCTTCAGATTCCTTGCTTGGATGTGTCCCGCAGCCCAGAGGCGCTGGGCTCCCCTGCGGGCCCCCGGACCCTCGGTTCCCTCCCTTCCCTCCCCTCCCTCCCATGCTGGACTCAACCAGTGCAGATTGGTCTGTCCTTTCTAGTGCCAGTGGAACTGTTTTTTTGTACCTGCTTGTTTACTAGTCTCTCCTAGTGCCATGCACCAGCTTTTCACACACATGTACGTACACACACACACAACAGAGAACAACACAATTTTAACATGTTCCCCTCCTTTTTTGTAAATAAATGTACAAATTGTCAATTTTTTTTTGTTTTTTTTTTTTTGTTTGTTTTGTTTTGTTTTTTTTTTAATTAAAGGAAGTATGCTTGATGTGCTAGCATAACTGTACTAGCTTCTTGTGTACCATAGTACCAGGTGGCTTGAGAATTAGTACCGACAGACAGACCTATGAGGACATTTATTACACTTTTTACCAAAGGGAGTTATCATTGTAGTGCTTTTGTGTGGAAACTTTTTTCTCCTTTTTTTGTAAATAAAAATGATGTCTTTGTTCTTACTGGAGGAAGACACTCGCTCATCCACAGCCCTGTCCCTGGTCTGAGATGCACCGTGCAGCATGCAGCATTGGGGGATGAGGAGAGGGAGTGCGTCCCACCTTGTTACGATTGGCTTCACAATCTGAGAGGAAAAAGCAGAGGCAGCGTGCGTGTTTTGTGCTTCACACAACTGAGGTATAAGCGGTCTGTTGAGATATATAAATATATATTATATAGTTTTTAATTTTTTTAATGTTTTTGTTCCGGTGGGTAGTTTTTATCCACCTAGTCTTCCAGCTCCAAGGACCTTCGCTTTTGGGAGGTGTTGCTGAGCTACTTAGCTGAGGTTGATTGTGCTTGTGTATTTTTCCCTCTCAGTATTGGAGAAAAACATCTGAAGTACCAAACCAGTATTGGATAGAGCTGCTCTGTGTGTGTGTTGGTGTGCGCGTGCAAGAGAAGGGCAGGGGCCGGGGTGGGTCTCAGTGCATTTCACTAGTGAAATCCACATATGGGATATATATTTTTTTAAGCATAGAAGTTTAGCGCTGGCAGATATTTAAACACAGGGAAGATTCTGATTTTAAAATGAAGTCGACATACAGACTTCGTAAGCCACGACAGACACAACTGCACTGTCTCTCCTCCTCAAAGGAGGCAGCTTTCCTTGCACAAACCAGTGCTGCCAGTATGAGCACCCCAATCTGCTTCCCTCCTTCCTGGTTTGGGAGCGTGGCTTTGCTGCTGTTGTGACCACAATCTGGCAGGGATCTCTGGGCTGGCAGCTTGCCTCCTTCCCGTGGCAGAGAGCCGGGTGTGCAGAACTGAGGGGCGCAGACAGAGCCCCAACTCATTAGCAGCCCGGGTGCAGGAGACGGGTCTGGCTGTGGTGGTGACCGGGAGCCTCCTATGGAGAAAGGAAAATAGAGGGAAGCGCCCAGCAGGGAATAGCCAGAGTTTGCCAGCAATAAGTTCCCTATCGTTCCATTCGAAAGGTTTCTTCCCTACCCCTTTTTCCTCTGTATGCTGAAGGTGATCCAGCAGTGAACGTGTGGGTGGCGGAGGCCTGGCTTGGGGCGACGCCTGCATGTCCCAGGGCCATCCCGCCCTGCCTGGCTGTACCATAGCAACAAGGCTTCTCTTTTTATTTGAACTTGCTTTTTGTATTCTGTAACGTGATCCTCGGCCCACTATCCATGTGATTTCTATACCAATGTTGTAAACTTGACTGTAGTGCAGTATTTCCATTAAAATATCAGGGCTAACTGCTGTGTGCGGATCCTTCTTCCCACCCCACGCTGTGAGCTCCCAGGGGCGGGCAGTGCATGACATGGGGGGGGCCCAGGCTCCCCATTAAGACACCGGGGCAGCAAGCAGTGCATCACCAGGGAGAAAGCCCCACTGAGCTGCTAGGAAAGCACCTATGCAGTAACCAAGCAGGGCTCTCCCAACGGGGCTTTGGGGGGCAGTGGCTGCATGCAGTAGCCAGGCCAGGCCTGCAGGCCTCACCCCAGGCTTCAGTGCGGCCTGTACACCTCGCCTCAGGCCCCAGCCCGGCCTGTAGGCCTCGCCTCAGGCTTTAGTGCGGCCTATAGGCCTCACCCCAGCCCGGCCCCATCCCCTCAGCGCTGTGCCGCGTTCTGCGCATGCGCGACGCATCCAGCCGCCGCAGGGCGGGCGGCACGGAGACGCACGCGCAGTAGCGGCTTGGGCGCCGCCATGCTGAAGCACCGGAGTACGGCGCTGGAGCGCGTCGAGAAGTTCGTGTCCGCCACCTACTTCACCGACTGCAACCTGCGGGGCAGGTGGGCCGCGGGAGGGCCCGTCCTCCGGGTGCTGCCGGCTCGGGAGAGGCCTCGCCTCGGTGTGTTTTCCGAGGGAAGCGCCGAGGTGGTTCAGTGCGTAGAGGCCCGGCCTCGGGTGGGCGGCTGTTATTCCTTCGGTGTCATGAGGAGTTGGTTGTGGGGTGGGGGCTCTTGCCTGAGCTCACCACGTCCCGGCCACGTTTGCCCACAGGCTCTATGGGGACAGCTGCACTCCCACCTCGCTCTCCTGCTTCCAGACCCCACGGCGGATCCCCTACAGCGAGGCCGTCGTGCAGGAGTTCAGGCCGGCCAGAGTGGGGGATGCCTTTGGGCCCACGTGAGTACGGGCTGTCAGCACCTGCAGAGCTGGCGGGCTGTGCCGTGACACCGTGTGTCCCTCCCTGCTGTGTGCTTTGGTGAAGGTGCCCGCCTGCTGCCATCAGGGCTGAGACTCGTGGTAAGGGCTGTGCATCCAGGAAAGGGCTTCTGGAGACCAAGTCCAACCCTCTGCTAAAGCAGGTTCCCTACAGCAGGCCGGCATTCAAGTGGGTCTTGAATATCCCCATAGGAGATTCCAACTCCTCTCTGGGCAGCCCGTTCCAGTGCTCTGTCACCCTTACCATAAAGAAGTTCTTCCTCTTGTTTGTATGGAACTTCCCGTGTTCCAGTTTTTGCCTGTTGACCCCTGTTTGATTGCTGCACGCCACTGAAAAGAGCCTGGCTCCGTCCACTTGACTCCCATACATTAGATATTTTTAACAGTTATGAGATCATCACTCAGCCTTCTCCAGACTGAACAGTCCCAGGTCTCTCAGCCTTTCCTTGTACAGGCAGCACTCTAAGCCTTGGTCATCTCTGTGGCTCACAAAGAAGATCTCCCTGTTTGTTTTTTTTAACTGGGTAGTCCAGACTGGCTGTGTGCCCTCACCAGTGCAGAGCAAAGGGCAGGATCACCTCCTTCCACCTGCTGGATGCTCTCTTGGTGATACAGCCCAGGATATCATCGGCCTTCTTGGCCACAAAGACACACTGCTGGCTCGTGATCCAGCCTGTTGTCCACCAGAACCCGTAAGTCCTTTTCCTCATGGCTCCTCTCCATCAGATCAGTCCCTAACTTATATAGGTGCATGCAGCTGTTCCTACTGAGGTGCAGCACCATACCCTTGCTCTTGCTGAGGCTCATCACATTGCTCTCTGCCCAACTCAGCGGTCTGTCCAGGTCTTGCTGAATGGCAGCACGGCCTTCTGGTGTGTCAGCCACTCCTCCCAGCTCTGTATCACCATCGTTTCATATCAAAGCACGTCCTCTCGGGTTTCATTACCTTATGGATTGCTCAGAGATCTTCACCCCACTTGCTGGGTTTTTGGCTGGCTGCTACTCCTCTAACCCACAGCAGTGCCATGAGCCAGAAGTTTAGTGTGATTAAAGGGCAGACAGCTTGCTGGAAGGGGAGGCCCAGTGCATTTAAATGGGACAGGACTGTTCTGTGCACGTGTTGTGTCCTTCTTGAACTGATGCTGGGTCACTGACAGCCACACAGGGAGCTGGTTAAAGCATATCTGTGCAGACAGATGGCTTTGTTGCACTGTGCACACTGTGCTTGCGTGGCATCCCTGCTGCTTTTTGCCCACAGAGGTTCAGAATGCACGAGGTTTCTCTCTGGGAATGTCTCAGCAGTGGGTGAGGTGTCTGTGTGTTCTTTTCCAGGTGGGAGACCTGCTGGTTTAGGGTGGAGCTGAGCATCCCCCCAGCATGGGCAGGGCAGGAGGTGCACTTTGTCTGGGAGAGCGATGGTGAAGGCATGGTGTGGCGAGATGCCCAGCCGGTCCAGGTAAGGAGGGGTGGGTCAGGTGTATGCCAGCTATGCCAGGTATTCTGGTGTCTTCAGAGCAGTCATCTCCCTCAGCCCTCTCTAATGGAGCAGTAGGAATCCCCTTCTGTTAGTTTTATGTGCCTCAGAGTAATGTCTGCTTGTGTTGTTGGGGAGAAATAACACATGGACCAAAGGGAGAGAACCAGGAATAACTAGCGGTCTAGACAATGTGGTCATGAAAGAAAACATGAAGTGTATTTATAGCTGTGGTTCAGCCTTAACAAATCAACCAAAGCTGCTTGAGAAGTCTTTAAATACGTGAAAAACTTCAGTGCAGAGAGGAGCAGTTATGAAATCACAGAATATCCAAAATTGGAAAGGACCCATGGGGATCACTGAGTCCAACTCCTGGCTCCACACAAAGAGGCTGGCGTGTGGGGCAGGAGAAAGGGTGAACTTGTGGTTTGCTTACTTTGCTTTGTGATAGAGAGAGGGTCTGTGGGCTGTATCCAGAGTTCAGTCCTGACAGTCAGGCCTGCTGGTAGTCTAGTACTCCTTTGGGAAGCACTGTGCTATGACACGTGGGACCACAGCCCGCCATCCAGCAGGGCTTTGTGGCGTTCTGTCTGTCCAGCAGCTCTGTAAAGCCTGCTGTCGTGTTCTTGTGCAAATGTGGGTTAAATGTGCTGCCTTCCCCTTCAGGGTTTGACTAAGGAAGGCGAGAAGACCAGCTATGTACTGACAAGCAGCCTGAAGGAGACAGAGCCCCACAGGTGAGTGGGCAGCTTGGCCAAACTCTGTGCTGCTGGGGAAGCTTGGTGGTGAAATAACCAAAGCTGGGGTGCGATACTCCAGCCTGCATCCGGGTTCTCAGTGTGTCTGTCAGAAGTTCAGTTGGGTTGGTCCTGCTGGGGGGTAGGAATGGGCTTTGCCAGCTGAGTAATCTGACCCCAGGGGTCACTGATGGTTTCCTTCTGCTCTCTGCAGTCTGACGCTGTATGTGGAGCTGGCCTGCAATGGGCTCTTTGGGGCTGGCAAGGGCTCCATGATAGCCCCTCCGGACCCTGACAGAAAGTTCACCTTGAGCAAGGCTGAGTTGGTGGTCTTCAACAGAGATGTCTACGAGCTGCTGGTGGATCTGGAAATACTTCTGGACATGGCCCAGGTCTGTGTGCTCCTTCACTTTCTTTTTCTCAGCATTTCTGCCTCCTACAACTTCTACGTTTTATCCCCTTCTTCCATGTCCCAAGACCTGTCTCCTCCCACCAGGAGGCCCCAGAGGAAAATGTATTTGCTCCCGCTGCTTTGGCATGACTGACATTATCTGCAGTATGAGAAATCCAAATGAGGAGACAACACAGGTGCTTGTTGCATCTACCTGCTGATCTAAAGCAGAGTCTGTTAGGCCAGAGCCCTCTGGTGTTGAGCGTATGTGTAATTTGGCTTTAGGGAAACACACGCAAAGACAAGGTTTTATCTGTGAAGCAGGGACGTGGTGTCTGCCTGAAACCACTGGCAGAGTCAGGTGTTGGAAGGAGGTAGCAGGTTCTGCCTGAGACAGATGTATCCATACTGGCCAGAGTGCTCAGACTCAAGCTGTCCTCCCTCCCACCCCCTAGCTCCTCGGGGAGGAAAACCAGAGGAGCTTCCAGGCCCTGTATGCTGCCAACCAGATTGTCAACGTGTGTGATGTGAAGGACCCATCCACCTTCCCTGCTGCCCGTGAGCTGGCTGCAGCGATCTTCAGCCAGAGGAACGGCGAGAGCCAGCACACCATCCACGCCATGGGGCACTGCCACATTGACTCTGGTGAGAGCAGTACAGCTTTCCCTCTCTACTGGCCAGGATGGCAGTGCTGGCTGCCCTTGGGCTGCAGGCGCCGAGCCCTGAGGGAAAGGAGAAGGGATTTCTGTGCTAGCACGCAGCTGGTCTGATAGGGCGGTGAGGCAGAGGGATGTGCGTCTGGTTAGCTGTGTGGTCTGGATCACTGATGGGGCTGCTGATAGGAGATGGATTACAGAGCACTGTTTTCTGCCTTTTGGACATCACCCCTCAATTTCCAGTCCCTGGAGACTGTTTCAGTTTCAGCAGAGAGGCAGCAGAGGCCCCAGACCGTGGTGCTGTCAGGCACGTCAGTCAAAGGATAGCATTTTGTGTTGCATTTTCTCTGGTTGATCTTTGAAAGTGCAGCCCCATTCCTGAGGGAGTCTGCCTTACCCAGGCAGCCAGGGATGGTGCTTGTGCCAAGTAATAACCATGGTAGGGCCGTGTGTCTGTCTCTACAGCCTGGCTGTGGCCATATGAGGAGACTATCCGGAAATGTGCTCGCAGCTGGGTCACGGTTATCCGTCTGATGGAGCACAACCCAGAGCTCACCTTTGCCTGCTCCCAGGTGAGCCATCTCTCTACTGAATTGGAGGGATGGGGTCACTGCAAACCCCAGGGGTCACTGCAGCCCTCGGCAGCCCTGAGGATTGGAAGTGGGATGGTTTGCTCCGAGCAGCACAAAGAATTGATGCCAAGCTCACTGAGAAGCTCTTCTGCTTGTGGCATGCTGCTTCTCCAGTGTAACTCCAAACGAGACGGGGGTGGCCAGGGTCCTGTGTGGTTCCAGAGAGCAGGAACATTGGTGTGGAGCAACGTGGTGGGAGCTGGGGCTGACTTCTGTGCTCTGACAGGCACAGCAATTCGAATGGGTGCGGAGCTGGTACCCTGGACTCTATGCCCAGATTCAGGACTACGTGGCAAAGGGGCAGTTCATCCCTGTTGGAGGCACCTGGGTGGAAATGGTGAGAAGCACGGCGAGCCTGGCTCACAGCACCTTTTTGTTTCTCCTCTGCAGTGCCGAGCTGTGTTCAGATCCTCGGTGGGCAGGGTGGCAGTGGGAGTGGGCTGGAAGCTTCTCCTATGCCTGGCTTGGCACACGTGTTGCAAGAGAGGATGCTGACTCCTTGTGCTCTGCTTCCAGGATGGAAACCTGCCCAGTGGAGAGTCCATGGTGCGGCAGTTCCTTCAGGGCCAGCGGTTCTTCCAGCAGCAGTTTGGCCAGATCTGCTCAGAGGTACTTGCTCTTTTGCAGCATGCTTTCCTTGCACATGGTCTACTTCCACCTCTTGCTATCCTTCAAGATTTCTCTCCGATTTGCCTTCCAGATATAATTTTCAGGTGCCTCACATAGGCCTGATATTTGGAACTAAAGTTGTGATGAGTGAATATCCAGTCACCCATATATCCTGCCAGTTAGCACAGGACTGGGCCTTTATTTTATTATCTGCTGGTGTCTGGCAGGTGTCTGCAGTTGCTCCTTATCTAGCACATCTTGTCTGCCCTCTGCATTAAGGCTTTAGAGCCAGGATACCCTGGACAAACTCAGGCTAGTTTGACTCTTGTGTTTCTCTTCCTCTGCTCCCAGTTCTGGCTGCCAGACACGTTTGGGTACTCAGCCCAGCTGCCCCAGCTGATGTGTGGCTGTGGGATCAAACGGTTCCTCACACAGAAGCTCAGCTGGAACCTGGTCAACACCTTCCCAGTGAGTTGTGTTTCCCTTTTTCCCAGGGGTGGACATAGGGTTGCTGGAGTCTGTCTGCAGGGCTGGACCCATTTGTTCCACAGCTCAAGCCAGTCCTTAGCTCAGCTGAGAGAGACTTTTCTTCCAAAAACTCTTAAGTTGTGACATGAAGAGAAAGGGAAGGGTTAGTGTGGATCCTCCAGGTTTTTGACATGCTTGTCCCCTCTGCACTTCCATGGAGACTTGGGTGCTGGGTTTTGTGCCTGACAAGGCTTGCAAGGGAGCACAGGCTTCTAGTGCCTGAGTTCTGTGCTGATGTGGTTGAACTGCACTCTCCACGTGCACTTTGGTCTGGGAGATGAGTTTGGGAGCCTGGAAACACTGAGCAAGGGATGAGTTGATCACTTGCCTGTGCTGGCATGAGTTTTTTGGGAACTCCTGGGAATCATGGTCTGTGTTTCAACATTTGGGTGCTTTGTGGCTCTTTGAGACACTGTACTTTCCTCTGGCATGTCTGCAGCATCACACCTTTTTTTGGGAAGGCATTGATGGATCCCGAGTCCTGACCCATTTCCCCCCTGGTGACTCCTATGGGATGCATGGGCGAGTGGAGGAGGTAAGTCAGCTTGCCAAACCTGCATGTGAAGTGCAATGCCAGCCTCATGGGGCAAGGTCTGAGGTTTCTAAGAGGGGGTGCTGTCAGAAAAGGGAGTGGGATTACCAAATGAAGGCCTTCAGTTAACCTGGTAGTTAGTTGCCTGCCTCTGTGATGTGTCCATGCCTGATTCTTGAGGTTTGGGCTGGGGAAGAGGGGCAAGGTTGACTTTCTTGTGTGGAGCAAGGAGAGCTGGGGCTGGGTACCAACAGACTGTCCAAAATTTCTTCTAGATGCTGAAAACAGTGAAGAACAACAGGGACAAAGGACGTGTGAACCACAGCGCTGTCCTTTTTGGCTTTGGAGATGGAGGAGGTGGCCCCACGCAAAACATGCTGGACAGGATGAAGAGGATGAGTGATACAGATGGGCTGCCAAGGTGAAAGATCCTTTCCTGCCTCCTTGCACAGACACAGAGCACTTGTCCCAGCCTCTATGGGCTCCCATTGCTTCTAGTGAAGCAGCTGTGTACACAACATACAGATTAGACAAAGGGCTGCTGGGCTTGACATGGGGAAAAATGATTAGGCAGCAGTTCAAGGTATCAAATAACTGCTGCTCCTCAGCTAGCTTGCACCGTGGCACTCTGCCTCCTGCCTGCAGTTTGTAGTATGGGAGGATTTTGGAGCTGGCTGTTTCCATTCTCCAATTAGTGCTCTCCTTTCTCCAAGTGTAAGTGGTCTGCACCTCTGGGCAGCCAGGAGTCCCCCTGCACATCCCTTTTAGTTGTGTGTTGGGGTTTTTGAAGCCTCATTTCTGGAACTGATGCCTTTCTGGTGGGAGCACCCCACTAGCTGTGCCGTGCACTTCTCTCCTGGCTCATTGCTGTTTGTACCTCTCTCCCACAGGATTCAGATCTCCACTCCTGACCGTTTTTTTTCTGTCCTGGAGAAAGAGGCATCACAGCTGTGCACCTGGGTGGGAGAACTCTTCCTGGAGCTGCACAACGGCACATACACCACCCAGGCCCAGGTGACTGCATGTGTGGGATGGATGGGACAGTGGGATCCCTCACCCTCAGGGGAAGTGGCTGTTTTCAGCTCTCTTTGCTATTGCTCAGGTGGCTCCAGGGCTTGGGTAGCGCCCTTTGTGCCTCAGCTCTGGGAGCCACCTTGCAGCCAGCACTCCAAAAGGCAGATCTGCTGTTAGTCTTTAGTTAGACTTGCTTCCAGGGTGAGAAGGGAGCCAAGACACAGCAGACACTCTTTGGTCAATAACTGCCATGTCCTGCACTTTAGCGGGGCCCTGATCATTGCAGAGGAGAGATGAAGAATTAGAAGAGGAGAAAAGTGAGTGGAGTCTGGCCTGGGGGTTAAGCAGAGGCCTGTGCTGGAGGTTATAGAGCTGAAAGCCAGATTGATCTGTGGCCAAAAAAGAAAGCTAGTAATGGCAGCTCATGACACCTACAAGTAACCAACCTTCCTGCACTGGATCTGTGCTTTTGCTGGTGTAAGAGATTCATTCCTGGCTACAGCTTTTCTAAGAATCTTCCTTCTCTTCCTGATTGGCACCAGATAAAGAAGGGGAATCGGGAGTGTGAGCGAATACTGCATGATGTGGAGGTGCTGAGCACCTTGGCTATGGCACAGAGTGGCACGTTCCAGTATCCTGCTAGCCAGCTGCAGCAGCTCTGGAGGTAAGGAAGTACATGAGCATGACTGCTGTGCAAACAATTCTTCCATAAACTGATGAGAACTTAATGGGAAAGAGTTTCAGTGCCTTGCTTCTCTCGTTGGAATCTTTAAACCTTCACTCTAAATCCTTTGGAAGCTCCAAACTTTTACTGCTGTGCTGCCTGGAAATTTCATCTCCGGCCTACACTTATCTTTGGCCAGTTTTGACTGGTCTGAACTTGTACAATAACATATCTGGTAGTCCCAAGAGATTGAAGGAGTCAGCTCTCAATCCCCATGGTTGTGGTTGGCAAAGATGACCCCTTATCCTAATGTAAGGGGATTTAAAGTGTGCTATGCAAAAAAACTCCCCATCATTTTCTAATGGGGAGCAGTTACTAAGTCTGTCTATCTTGCAAACAGGGCTTGGTAAGCTAGAACAAACCTAATGCTCTCCCCTGCTTCCTGGTGTGGTTTCTCTTCTGTTCTAGGTTATTGCTGCTCAACCAGTTTCATGACGTGTTACCAGGCAGCTGTATCCAGCTCGTGGTCAGGGATGCCCTAAAATACTATGCAGGTGAGCAGGGAGTTGGGCCAGGAGGGCACTTACTTACTATTGGAGCACCTTGAGTCCTGCCTGTTGCAGAGCTTTCAATTTCAGACTGCCTGGCAATGTGGGACAAGACCTGTGCAGCACAGTGTGTCAGGCATGTGTCAGTAATTGGGCAAATTCAACCAGGAATGAGCAAAATATGCTGAGTTACTGACTTCTCTGCACTAGCAAAGGTGGGAGCTGAGGACTGCTCCTGTCTGCCCACAGGCAGTTGCAATTGCTTATTTTATTACAGCTCAGCAGTTTTCCAATTGAACTGACGTGGCTCACTGTAATCTCGTAATAAAGTCAATAAGAACAATCATAAGCTTTGCTTAATAGATAATGGTAATTAATACTAAAAATAATGAGTAATTGTAGATTGGAAGTAGTAAGAGCGTAGGTACTTTTTACAGAAGAAGTTCTCTGATGTGAGAAACTGCCTGCCTGGGTCCAATTGGGGCTGCTTTTTGCTCAGAGATCCGCAGGGCTGGCAGTCGCCTGCAGGAGGAGGCCGTGCAGTCCTTATGTGGAGAACTGCTGCAGCTCAGGTCTGGGGGTGCTGAGAGCACTCTTGTGCTGAACACTTTGCCCTGGGAGCGGACAGAGGTGATCTCCAGGACTGAGCCAGCTGGAACAGAGGCTTTAGGTATGTCTAACTCAGAAGCAGAGCGTGCATCGTGGTTCCTTACAGTGGCAGAGACAGCCTGCAAAGAATTGCTCTGCCTCTCCCTGTCGTGGAGGGATTACTGATTCCCACTTCAGATTGTCCCCAAATGATGAATAAAGAGGAGGGGGTGAACATGAGAGCACCAGGGCAACACGGTGTAACTTAAGGATGGGTCTGGGGAAGGTGCTGAAACAAAACCTCTTTCCTTTCCAGCCCTGGTGACAGCTCCCAGCATGGGCTATGCTGTAGTGAGGGAATCGCTGCTGCCCCCTCAGCCTGTGGCAGTGATCAAGCAGGTAAGCATCACTGCCTTTGTCCTCAGATTGAGGTACCTGCTTCAAAGGCTGACGGGGAGAAACGTAGGAGATCCAGTTCTACAGCTGTGAACTTCACACTCCCTCAACTCCTGAAGGCATGAGTCTGTGCAATGTGTTTGTTCTTTTTCTCCCAGGAGGATGGCTCCATTACCATGAAGAATGGGCTGATTGCAGTCTGCCTGGATGCCATGGGGCGCCTGACCTCTCTTCGGCTGGTGCACTCTGAGAGGTGAGTCTCTCACCTGCTTCCTGCATCTGGGATGCTATAACCTCTCTCAGGCCTTCTCCTCACTGTGAGCCCTTCACCGCTGCCTCTTCTTAAGCTGCTTTTCTCTGTTCTGCCTTGTTGCAGAGAGTCAGTCGCCGATGGCTGCCGTGCCAACCAGTTTGCACTCTTTGATGATGTTCCCCTGTACTGGGACGCCTGGGACGTGATGGATTATCACTTGGAGACCAGGTAGAGCAGCACTGCCTGCAGCACTTCAGTTTTGACTTTGCTTGGAAGTTCTCACCTCCCTGTCAGTTTTAGCTGTAACCAAATCTCAGCACCTCTCCCGTCTTGGGGCGTTCACTCTGTAGAAGCGAGCATCTGCTGTAGTTGTGAGGCTGCACTGGGACTTGGGAACCTGGATCTGCTGGGCTGGGACTAGCTCTGCCTTTACCCCTGTCTCCAGGAAGCCAGTGACAACGCTGCTGAAGCCTCTGGAAATCACCCTGGCAGGGGGCCTGCGGGGAAGCGCCAGCTTCTCTCTGCGGGTCGGGGAAAGCAGCACCCTAACCCAGGAGATCATCCTGGATGCCATGTGCCCATACATCTGCTTCAAGACCCAGGTGAGACTAGTGGCTGCTGTGTTCCCTGGCGAGCTGAACCCTAGCTCTGAGTTTTATTCCCCATCTTCTGCTCTCGGGGTCCCCACTGCCTGTTGTCCTCTGCAAAAGGTGAAGGTAGTCCCAGAATGAGGTCTCTTCAGGGAGAAGGTGGATGAAATCAGTCAGTTCTGCTGCTTGCAGTGGCTGTTGTATTGTACCTGGTCCAGCCTGGTCAGGGGAGGATGAGTGCAATTTCTGCCCGTCAGCCCATGGCAATGCCTTTCTGTTATTGCATTTAGGTTGACTGGAAGGAATCTCACAAGTTCCTGAAGGTGGAGTTCCCTGTGCAGGTCCGTAGCACAAATGCTACCTACGAAATCCAATTTGGGCACCTGCAACGGCCAACCCACTGGAACACATCCTGGGACTGGGCCCGATTTGAGGTGAGAGGAGCTCTGGTCCCATGATGACTGCTTTCCTGCAGGCTTTGTGTGATGAATATGTCCTTTGGTGTCTCCTGCAGGTGTGGGCTCATAAGTGGATGGATCTCTCTGAGCACGGCTTCGGGGTGGCAGTGCTGAATGACTGTAAATATGGGGCATCAGCACACAGGAACGTCCTCAGCCTCTCATTGTGAGTGGGGTTGTGGTGAGGGTGGAGCTGCAGCAGTCATTGGAGGTGCTTTCTGAGGTGTCTGTTTCAAGTCAGGGCAGCGTCTGGTCCTGAATGATCATAGTTAATAAGGAAATAGTCTGTGATTAGCCTAAGTGGGTGGCTGTCTTCTAAAACTTGTTAGCTGATGTAATTAAAATTGACTAAGATAATGTAATTCCGATGGCATACGCTCATAAATAATGCCATTGAGCACGGAGCCACACTTGCACCGAGTAATTTTTCTGTTGCTGGCCAAAACACACCCCAGGAAGGGAGACTTAAGGAAGGGAATGGAATGTCACTGTTACATATGCATGTGAAGCTAAGAGAAAATGGATATTTTGAATCTTACCAGCTGAAAGTTTCATAGGAAACCACCCTTCAGAGATTGACTTTAGCTTCTGGGACCGTGTCTAGAGTCCCAGAATCCGCCTCAGGACCCAGACCCAAAGTAGCTGGGGGAGGCAGTTGCCCTGCCGGTGCTCTGGTTGGGTGGCAGAAGGTCCTGTGGAGAGTCCCATCTCTTTCCTTAGGCTGAGAGCACCAAAGTCCCCTGATGCCACTGCAGATATTGCCCACCACCAGTTCACCTACGCTGTGATGCCTCATCAAGGTGAGTAATGAGCAGAGTTGGACACTGTGAGGGCACCCAGAGTAGAGGATGCTCCAGCGAGCCTCGGGTAGGCACAGGGTGCCTCCATCTCTGGCTGTTAATGCATAAAGACTGATTGGAGGTTCGTGTTTTGCAGGCTCCTTCCAGGATGCTGGTGTGATCCAGTGTGCCTACAACTTGAATTTCCCCCTCCACACAGTCCCAGCCAGCTGTGCGCCGTGTCCAGCCTGGAGTGCCTTTTCCCTGAGCTCACCTGCAGTTGTTTTGGAGACTGTCAAGCAGGCAAGTCCCCCAGGAAGAAGCAGGGGGGTAGAGGGGGCAGTTTTGAAGCTGCTTGTTCAGTGTGGTCTGCTTTCTCCCCGGCACTGGGTGACAGGCAGGATTGGCTGAGTGGCTATGGAGTTCTGTTCTGCATGGCAGAGCAGCTCAGTTGAGCTCATTTTGGTCTGGTTGATGTATAAAGATGTAGGTTAGGATGTTCCCATCTCCTCTGTGTGAACTCAGGTTTCTGTGTTGTGTCTGCAAAGGCTGAGGACAGACCTGAAGCTGTGGTGGTCCGGCTGTACGAGGCACACGGCAGCACAGTTGTCACTTGGCTCCAGACCTCCCTCCCCATTAAAGAGGCAATGCTGTAAGTGTGCACAGGGTGGCTGGGCAGGAGCTCAGCTCAGTCACTTCAGCTTCACCAGCTGTTTTCTCCCCCCAGATGTGACCTTCTGGAGAGGCCAACAGCCAAGGGCCACCTGCCACTGGAGCAGCAGGGTATGAAGCTTTCCTTCACACCATTCCAAGTGCTCTCCATCCTCTTGGTTTTGAAGCAGTGATGCTGGTGCTACAATAACCTGGACTGACACTGGGAGCTCAAATCACAGCCCGAGTCTCCCCCAGGGCACATCCAGGTAACCTGGAAGTGCAGTGTCATCTCTTGGAACTGAGCCTGGCCACCAGTGCCCTCTTGCTGGGCCAGAGAGGAAGAAGGACCAAGCATTTCTGCTGACCAGATTCCAGTGAGAATATTTCCCAAGAAGTGTGCAATATTGAGCAGCTCCAGGGAAGAGCAAAATCTACCCTAGACCCCCAACCAGCCATCAGAGAGCAGTGTGCAGTCAGCCCCCTCTTCCCTTCCTTCTCCTGTCTCCTGCACTGCTCTGACAGAAGGGGGCACAAATAAGACAAAATTACATGAGAACACTCTGTTGTAGCTGCTGCTGCTCTCAGTGTCCTTCCTCCTCAGTGGGATGTTTCTTACCCCTGAAACTAAGGAGCCAGTGCTTACCTTTACTTTTGGAGGTGGGGTTTCTCCAGCCCACCTGGGAAAGAGGCTGGGCATGGTGGGGTTAGCCTTAGCACAAGAAGGCAGGCACACCAATTTTTACACAAAATACTTTTTATTAATCATCTAAAACCAGCTTTCTCAGTGATCCAGGCAGCAATTAAAAAAAGGAAGAAGGAATATGATTTAAGGTATAGGAAGGGGTCAGAATCTGACACGATGCACAATCAGTGGTCCCTCTGAGGAACTGATTCTAAAACCACTCACAAGGGACAAGCAAGGTTATAAAAAAAATATATATAAGAACAGGAAGGAGGAGGAGCACCAGCCTGCCCCCATCCCTGAGGCTGCAAGAGCAGTAGTGCTGCACAGAGCGAGTGCTACAAGCAGGCATGCCTGAAAGCAACACCAGGCAGCCCAGGCCAGTGTGTCTCCACAGCAGAAGCAGTCACACGATTCCAAAGGCTGAGGTGTGTGAAGGCAGTGTGCTCTACTCACACTACAGCAGCTGCTCCTGGAAGAGAAACAAGAAGGCAGAAGGTGAGGGGGTGCCTGGCTCTGCTCTGCAGAACCCTGATTACTCTTCTGCCCTTTGTCACCTCCTTGGTCCAAAAGTCACAGGACCACCAGCCTCACCTCTGCCTCTGCGTGCTGAAGTCCGGTTTCTTTTTGCTCTGACTGGAGGAACATCTGGCTCAGATAAGGTTGGAGCAGCAGCCACTTTCTTCCTCCCACGGGCACGTCCCTTCCTTGACCCATCAGGCACTGCCTTCTCTTCCTCCTCCTTCACAGCTGGCTCCGGGGGCTTCTCTGCACCCCCAGAACGCCGTTTGGAGGCACGTGTTGTGACCTGGGTGGACACAGCCAGGGCTTAGCAGCAGAAGCATGCACACGAGAGGGGAACATGAAGATTCATGCATCGCTTGGTGACTGTGGGAGCAGCCTGAGAGGGCAAAGGAACCAGCCTGTAGCCCCAGCAGCAGTCTCAGCAGCCACAAAACTTCGTACCGTGGGGGTTGGAGCTTCAGGATCTGCCTTCAGGTGTGCGTGCTTCTTGCGGGACTTCTGACCTGTGAGAGGACATGCTCAGGTTGGGGGGGTGGGAGGGACAAGGGACACCATCCTGAGCAGTGAATGGGAACTCAGGTGTAGGATGGATTCAAGGTGGTTCCCCTCCCCTCCCAACAGATTTGTTCCTTTCCCAAAACACAGTGAACCACCAGGCTTCTGTTCACACCCAGCCTCAGAGTTTGGCCCTCCTGCTCCAAGCCTGGCAGGCAAGGAAGGGGATGTAGCTGCCCTGGAAAATCACCCTGCAGGTGCAGAAGCTGTGCACAGGCAGGCTGGTGTGCTGCTAGGAAGCCACGGGCACAGCAAGCTCCATCCCCTAATGCCACCCAGCTGCCACACAGCTGTCAGCAAACCAGGGACCTGCAGCACTCGCCTTCAAAGTAGAACTGTGCTCCTCTGGCTGGGAGCAGACTGTTTCCTCCCTGTGCTCCAGCCCTCTTGGAGCAAGAGCGGGTCTTGTGGGGACGAGGGAGGACACTCACCTTTGGGAGCCATGGGGCCAGGCTCTCCCTGCAAGGAAGGTGACAGAGCAGTGACTGGGATAACATCATTCTGCAGGGATCGCCAGCAAGCATCCCATAAAAGCACCCTGTAGCAGCTTCCAGCAGGAGCAATGAGACCCTTCTGCACCCCACAGCCAAGACAGGAATAGGCAAACAGACACATCTCCCCTAAAGCCCAGAGGAACCTGGCGCACTGTCTGTCTCTGAGACTCCCTGCTCCTTCTACAAGGCCCCATCACTGCACCTCACCCAGGAAGGATGAAGAGTGCTGCCAATCCATTTGGTAGCACCCAGCCACCTCTGCTCAGGCTGCCCTCTGTCCCTCAGCAGCTGTGTCCCTGTCACTACCACCTACAGGTCCGGTGGTCACAGCAGGCTCTGGGAAAGGGAGATGCCCAGTGATACAGCTCGGTGATCTCGGGGAAGCAGTGCACAAGAGAAAGGCTCCTCCCTGAGAGGAGCAACAGGGGTACCCAGCCCCAAGCAGAGACCCCAGACTCCTACCTGGAACCATATGGTCCTGTTGTTGCGGTCCCGCAGGGAGCTCATGCCAGGCACTAAGTAACACTGCAGCCAGTTCTTGAAGGCAGCATAGTTATCCGAGTCAGAAGGGTCAAAGAGATTTTTATCTAGGAAGGAAGAAAGGGAAAGGAAATGGAGAGAAAGCGCTCTCCAGCCAGAGCCTTATTCCTCAGCTCCCTGCCCTGTAGCCTCACCTGCTGCCACAACCTCCATGGGCACCGTGTGGCACAGCTCCAGGAGATCCGGGTTATCTCGCTTCAGCTTCAGCTTCTTACTCAATGTCAGGGAAGAATTCTGGAGAAGAGAACCTGCCAGCTACCCCACTTGGACCTTTTCATCCCCATACCATCCAAATCCTGTATCCCCCCTCAGCCTCTTGCCAGGGCACAAGCCAATCTGCAGGCCACGCTGTAGGCTGTGCATTGTGTAGTACTAGCACAGCTACAGGGACATGAAAAAGGAGCAGTTTGCTAAAAAGAAGCCTCAGGTTGTGCTTTGTTGTTTTTAAAACTTCTTGAAAACAACCACCCACTTTCCCCTGGGGCTTCAGGATTAGAGTACACGGACAGCAAGCCAGCCACAGGTTCAGCTGCAGCTTTCCCCAGAGGTTTCAAGCTTGCATTATATTTGCTTTCCTTGCCACTTCCTCTTTACCATCTTGACCTGAAGGCACGTGCCTGAGGAGCTGTCACAGCTTGTTGGCATAGCCACGTGCAATTGCATGCCACACGTGTGCTGTTATGGAACGGCTGTGCTCACTTGCTGCTCCACTGGAGGAGCAGACATGCTCTGACACGGGTGTTTATGGCAAGGACAACAACAAGCTTGATGAGGGAGACCCCAGCCAGCAAGTTACAAAGGGAAAATGCCTGCTGTTATGCTGGGAAACCTGAGTGTGGCTGCTGGACGATGGCAGCAGGAAGGGTTCAATCAATTACACTTCAAACCTGTCCAGAGCAGTAAACACCTCCTGACAGCAGCGGGACAGAGGCAAGGAGCTGTGTGAACCCTGCGAGGACCTGGTGACAGTTTGCAGCCCCATCACAGTGAGGTACTCAATGTGAACTGAAACTGTCCCAAACCCTGGGCCACCACTGCTGAGCTCAAATCCAAATCCATAATGGCACTGAAGGGCAGGGGCCCCCAAGCCCAAGCACAGCAGCCTGGAAAGCACCACGCATCCTCCACCTTTTCCTCCTCACCTGCTCCCGATGCTTCAGGGCTTCTAGCACAGTCCGGGCCTTTTCAAAAGGAGGGATCTTCGCCCTGAGAGAGTCCAGCTGTTACACTCAAGCCCGACGCAGCCTGAGGTGCTCACATATTGCATTGGAAGAGGCTGGACTCGGTGCGATGGTGTGGCTGCAGGGACAGCAGCAAGCAGCGCCGTGCTCTCAAGGACGCGACAGCTCACCTGTACAGGATCTCAGCACGGAGGTAATTGCCGATCCCATTGAAATACTTCTGGTTTAACAGCGCCTCGCAGACGGGCTTGTCGAAAGCTTTATCCTCCAGGTTGGTCAGCATGTTCTCCCTGTAGCACAGCACGAGGCACGCACGGCGCCGCGTCCCCCCAGCCGCCCAGCCTCCTTCCCGTCCCCATCACCGCGACAGGAGGCCGGGCACCCACCTGAAGGCCTCGTACTCCAGCAGGACGCAGGGCCCGCGGTCGGGCTGCCACTCCTCTCCCAGCCGCCAGGTGCCGAAGCGCCGGGGATCCACGAAGCAGAGGGAGCGGGGGGGGCTCTCACGGGTGAAAAAACGCAAATGCGCGTGGCGGGGCGGGCTGGAGGCCTCGCACAGCCGGAACGAACCCGACATGCCGAAGCGGAACACCAAGGCCTGCGAAGGGCCGGGGTCCAGCGGCTCCAGCGTCAGCCGCAGCTCCTTGCCGCGGGAGACGGCCGTCACCCTGTAGGCCTCGCTGCTGAACGGCACCTCCGGGCCGCGGCCCACGGCCGAGCGCTGCACGCCGCCCTCGAACACCAACCCGCCGCACGCCTCGTTGATGTAGCGGCCGGCCAGGTGCAGCTCCGGGCATTCCGGCATGGCGACGGATCCTCCGCGCCGCCGGCACACCGAGATCGCTCCGCGCCACGGCCGGCCCCGTTGCCTGGCGACACGCCCCGCTCGCCACTCATTGGCTGCGCAGTTGTCTGGCCAAGCCCCGCCCGCTTCCCATCGGTTTGTTCTAACGCGTGGGACACACCCCCTCGCCTCCCATTGGCCGTTACGTCGCTTGGAAACGCCCCGCCAACCACCCATTGGCCGTCCCATCGCATGGCGATACGCCCCTCTCCTATTCCCATTGGCCCCGCCTTCGCCCCGGGGCATGCCGGGAAGGATCGCACTCGCGTCGCCATGGCAACGACCGCGCTGGGCCTGCACGGCCCGAAGGTCCCGGGGACAGGAAGAGGCTGACAGAGCTCGGGCTTCGCTCCCGCACTTTATTATGAGGACAGAACACACGCATTGTATTTGTGACACCACCGCCGGGCCGCGTCCTCACAGGAGGGTCTTCATCAGCGCCTGGGCCTGCTTCAGCTCTGCAGGGTGGAGAAGCTGTGGCATGGAGTGTTGCTCTGAGGGCTTGGAGAGCCCTGAGAGAAAGGATGGGACTCGCTCCCTCAGCCCCAACTCCACCCCTCCTCACCTGCCAGCAGCACGCGGAATTTCTCCGCCGACACGGCCATGGGCACGGCCTCAGGCTCCCCGTGCTCCCGGTGCCGCACACGCAGCAGCAGCTGCACCAGAGGTTCGCCCACCTCCTGCAGCTCGCTGGAGCTCAGTGCATAGTCCACCCGCCACGACACGCCATCCAGGCGGCTCACTGCAATGCAGTGCCCAACCTGGTCTCGTGGCTCAGCTCAGCCAGGGCAGCACAGAGCCAATGTGTCACCGTAGGATGGGATGTCACCAAGGAAGAGACTCTCCCTCCTCCCCCCCTCCGCCTTGTCCCTCAGGGTCACACACCAGCAGTATGAGTGGGACACTCACATCGGAGGCTGCCAGCCCTGAGGCTGTCCTGCAGAGAGCTCTGCTTCTCCTCGTAGGAGCGGCACAACCCTGTGGCGTGTTCTGCCCAAGAAGAAAGATGGGAGAAACAATGAGAGCCTACTGCTGCTAGCCCCAGCCCTGGGGCAGCCAAACCCCAGCAGGGAGGGTACAGGGCAGGGCTCAGAAAGCCCGGAGTCAGACAGTGTGGACATGAGAGGACAGCCAGCATTGTGCACTGCTCACTGTAGGACTGGGCACAACGAGGCGGCACCTGCTGCAGATGTGTGACTGCAGGGCCCTGTGCCCCCATCCCACGCCCCACCTTTGGGCAGTCCCAGCTGCTGCAGCTCGCTGGACAGGGATTCACCATCCACATTGTGCTTGGCTGCATTGGACAGGATGAAGTCGAGCACAGCAATTGCAGCCTTCACATCACCTGACTCTGCAGGGAGGAGGGGGCTCAGCTCAGCGACAGACAGACCCCTGGGGGGTGGCTGCCTCCTGCAAGGCTCCCAGCAGCAGGAGGGCAATGGGGCTCACCGAGCTTGGCGTCCGACGTCAGCTTCAGGATCTTCTCATACTGCAGGACAGAAGCACAGGTACTAATTAATTACACAGTAACACACCTCTTTCCATTGGTACTACAGCGCTGCATAGCACTGCAATACTATAACCAAAGCAGGGGTTTGGGAGCTTGCATGGTTCCCGGCGGGAACACTCACATCGATGGCCTCTCCCAGCAGCTCCCGCAGCACCTGGGCGCAGATTAGCTTCAGCTTTACCGACGACTGCAGGAAGAAGCAGGCTCAGCACCGCGCCCGGCTCTGCCGAAAGCGGAGCCCGGCGCCGGGACGGACGGGGTTTGGTAGGGAAATCACTTAACGATTCGGGCCAGCACGCTGATCTCGGCCAGCACCCAGTCGGGGCAGTCCAGGTCCCCGCAGAACCGGAACCGCTGCGGAGGAAAGGAGCGCTCAGAGCCCGGTGAAGCCCCGCGCAGCCCCCACAGCCCCCCGGGCTCCCCCAGTCCGTCGCCGGACCCGCTCCCACCATGGCGCTACCGCTCGATTCCCGCAGGCTCCGCCTCCGCGACCCGGAACCGATACCGGGACCCTGCAGGGCTCCCGGCCCCGCCCACCGAAAGCCCCGCTCACCGAAAGCCACGCCCAGCAGAAAAAGCCCCGCCCACCGAAGGCCCCGCTGCGTTTGTGCTTCACTCTGCAGTCCTCACCCAGGTCCGCACTGTTCCCGCGCCCGCGGGGCGGAGCTGCCTCGGGGCTTCAGCGCACCGCGGTTTCGACTCCCGGGGCTGCATTTGGTTCCTCTGTTTTTATTTCGTGCTTGTGCCCCACCGTGCTTACCCGCCTTTATTTTCAGCTGCAGCCGATGGATGCTCGGCTTGTTCAGCTTCTCCCAACCGCAGCTCCAGCAGCTGCGTGCCAGGGCCCTCATTCGATCGCCGTGTCAGTGGGAACTGACATAGATGCACAGTGTGTGAAGAGCGAGGGCAGCAGCTCAGGTTGAGGGGGGAACGAAGCCGCGCGGAGCTGAAGGGACACGGGCGGGAGCGGAGCTCTTGAACTTCCGGCGCTCGCAGCAGTCTGAGTGCACGGGGGTTTGGGATTTGTCCCAGGCGGCACCCCATCCTGTATAGCAGATCCCTGCGCCCACCCGGCTGGTTTGCGACCCCCAGAGCCCGAGCAGGGCATGGAGACGGATCCTCTGTGCAGCCGTTGTCCCCCTAACACGTGGTGACCAGAGGCTGGGGACACCTCTATGGCCACCCAACCGCTGACCCCAGTAGTACCGAGGAGGGCCACCAGGGGCACCGGGGGGAGCTGAAGACCTCCTAGGGCATCCCACTGCTGGCAGTGCTCTAGCCCCATTGCAGTGCAACCCCCAACCCTGAACCCAAGTGGTGGAGGCGGTCTTGGAGCTGGGGACTCTGCTACCCCAGAGCCACAACGGCGCAAAGGGACAGCACAACACAGTTTCTCTTTTCCAGGCTTTATTCACGGCTCGCCCTGCACTCATGCCGCAGCTGAGGTTCGGGTGCAGCCCTTACGTGCAATACCCACAGCCACCCCAACGGCAGCCAGCGCTACAGCCACGGCCACGCACACCAGCCCCATCTCCACACTGGGCACCGTCACCGCTTCACCTGCAAACTCAAACCCGGCCGTCAGAGCAGGGCACTGCAGCGGCACCACAAGGGCGCAACCACAGGGACTCACCATCACCGTCCTCCTGCAGCTGTCCCACAGCTCCCGGGTCCGCCAAAAGCAACACGGGGCCAATGACCACATCAGCTGCAACCTCTTTCCCTGGGAAAGATGGAACCATGAGCTGTGTACCCCCTTTCCTGGGTCTCCCCAGCCCTAAGGAGGGACCTTACCGGCATCACGGCGGAAGCGGCGGCCATGCCATCGCTCCATGGGGTTGAGCCTCCGGGAGAGAGCGGGTGGCTCACAGTTGCCCGTCTCACAGCAGCTGCAGACATCCCGGCTGCCTTCCACTGGCACCCAGCTGGAGCAGGACAGCAGGACTGTTACCGGTGAGTAGGGACCCCCAGCAACTCCCCCCTCCCTTCTCTGCCCAAAGGACACCAAGAACATTGGCAAACACATGCTGGGGGAGCGTGAGGTGGTGTCCCAGTATCAGGTAGCTCCTCTTCCACCACCCTCCAGACTCACAAAGAGGGTCTGTGTCCTGTGTCTGAGGCTTGGGTGCCAGCCCCTGAGTTGGAGTTCATAAAACAGCCTGATTTGTGCTGCAGCTACTCACGTGTTTCTGGCCTTATTGAAGGAGCAAGCCTTGTTCTGGGGGTCTGGGCCTTGGTCTGCTGGGGTCACCTTCAGGTGGCAGGTGATGTAGATCTGTGGGAAGGCAGGGGAAGGGCTGGGGACCTTTCCCTGGGGACAGCCTGGTTCAGGGTAGGTGTTGTGAATGGACACAGCATACAGCCTTACCAGGTTCCTGGTGTCCCCCGCAAACCTGAAGACATCAATCCTGAACCGCAGCACATCCTCCCGCGGCCGGGGTGTGATGAAGGCAGAGCTGGTGTCATCCACCCTCCCATCCACTAAGCACCTGAACGTGGGGCAGATGAGGGGGTGGGTCAGCATCTCACTGAACCCCCTGAGTGTGGTGATGCAGTGACCCCCCCCAGGCTCACCCGTTGAAGTCAATGATGGCGTAGTGGGGCGAGGAGTCACCGTCGGGGCTCAGGGCAGCCACGCAGCTGTCCACAAAGAGCCGCAGGGGCACGTGGCTCTCAGTGCTGACCTCAGCCTGGATGTTGAGGATGTCTCCCAGCTGGAAGCCGGTGAAGGGTCTCTCTGTGCTCCAGTCGTCTGCAGGGCAGGGAGGTGACACAAGGGGGTGAGAGAGGGGACAGCGGAAGTGACAGCCAGGGAGCAGTGTGGCTGATGGCTTTGGGACAGCTGGGTGCCCCCAGTTGGGTGACTGGGAGCTGCGCCACATGGCACAACCCTGCTGGTGTACAGGGTGCCATCCCACATACCGCTCATGAGGCGCAGGGAGAACACCAGCCTCTCCTCAGCTGACAGCGCAGAGTTGAAAGGGGACCAGGTGGGCCGGATGGCGTTGCTGCTCACGTTCTCCCTCCTGGCAAGCGACAGCGTCAGCACTCAGCTGGGCACTGGGGAGACGTGGGGGGACAGTGAGGGTGCAGGGCCCTTACCTGGGGTAGTGGCACTCGATGGGGATGACAGCAGGGTTGGTGCGGATGATGACAGGGTTGCTGGCAGGGCTGGGGTCGTAGTTGATGAGCGTGCGGTAGATGAGGGCATCTGGCGTCACCTGGGCAGGGAAAGTGCACAAAGTTGGCAACGAGGCACCGAGACCTCCCCCCTCCCCCCTCATCCGCCCAGAGCTGTCTCTTTCCATTGGGAAATGCAAAAAAAAATAAAAAATAAAAAAATAAAAGGGTGAAACACAGGGTTTGCAGCTGTAAGCACAAAGCAGCTCTGGTGGATAAAAAACAAAACCTCCTGTCTGGGAGGAAACCACCCGCCTGGGGCGCGAGATCTCACCTGCACGACGCTGCCGCACTCGTGGAGGCCAGCGGCGAAGGTAACGGTGTTGTGTGCGGCGTTGAGCGAGGAGTGCTTGCAGGCAGCTGGGCCCAGAGTCAGGTCGGCAGCGTTGATGAGACGCCCGGTGCCAAAGAGGTCCCTGTGCACCGTCACCACCAGCTGCGCCTCCTGGCACTGCACGGCCACCGGGTGCGAGCCGGCCACGGCCCGTGAGTGCGCCTCGGTCCCCCAGGACCAGGCAGAGGGATCCCCTCGTGCTGTCCAGGAGAGGTCCCAGGGTGTGTAGGAGCCCACCCTGGCCACCAAGCAGCACAGGAGCCCCAGCACCACGCAGCCGCCTCGCATCCTGCCTACTGCCAGCTCGCCCAGCATGGGAGCTAAGGCGGCTCCGCGGTGCTTTATATCCCTCGTCCCCTGTGCTGTCTGCACGTGGGGATGGGGAGGCAGAGTCGTTTCCGGGGTGCTGTGCCCCCCATCCTAGGCTGCCCAAGGCGAGAGAAAACATCCTCGTCAGCCTCTTTGGGGGAATTGTTTAGAAAACTCAGCAGAAGCCGGAGACGGGGAGACGGGGACAGAGCGGCTTGTTTAGGTTTTTGCCTGGCGATAAGGGGCTTTTCAAGGCTCCTGGGGAGGTGATGCTGTGGGGGGGGGGGGGTCAGAGGTGGGGGCTTTCCACCACCCCCAGCCCTGCCCGGAGCTATTCCAGATTCTGCTGCTGCCCTGTGGCCCCTCCATAGCATCTCAAGTAGGGACTTTACACATTCCACTTCTCACCAACGGCACGAGTGCAGCCGTGCTCAGCCAGCCCCATCACACCCTACTGCAGCACTCTTCCAGGGCTGAGCCTGCAGCCCACGTCAGGCAGCTCTGCCCAGCACCCAGCAAAATACCCAGGGCATCCCTTAGCGAATGGATGGCTGCTTGAGACTCAGCCCCACACGTTCTCAGCCCCTTCGTTGTGTCTGTATGTCTTTTCCCCACTCTGCTATGTGCACGGTGACACAAAGGGTGTTCTGCTCTGCACCCCAAATCCTTCCCCACCTTTGTGATGCCCTTAGCTAGAGGAGAGCTGCAGCGGAGCTCAGCTGGCCCCTAGGAAACAGATGGAGCTTTGGATCAGTCAGCAGCCAGAAACCCCACTGAATTTGACGCAACACCCCAAAAGCACGATGCACATGCAAGCATGCTGTATTGCACAACCTTCTGCCCTCCTGCTGACTCTCCTCCCCACGGAGCAGGTCAGGACTTCTCGGTGTTTAGGATACCTTGAGATTGGTGCTTGCGTAGAAAAGCCAGGCATTCCAGCAGGGAGCCTCTGTCTTCGGGAGGACATTTGGCAAAGGCACTCACGCTGACGGCAGGCAGATAACAGGGCAGGCGCTGCTGAATCAGTAAACAACGGCTGGGGAGCACAGGGCGAGGGCAGGAGCCTTGGCTGGTGAGGAGGGGGCAGCTCAGGGGCCCCTCTGCAATGAGCAGCCCATCGAGACACAGAGCTGGGGAGGTGCTTGTCTTAGAAAAAGGGAAATTCTGTGCTGACCTTATTCCAAGCAGAAGATGGCTTGGCCACAAACCAGCAAGGCCAGGAAAGAGGGTAAGAACAGAGCTGGAGGAGACAGAGATGAAAAGTCCCAGGGCAAGCCCCAAAGCAAAACATTCTTCCCCCCACCACGTTGTGCAAAAGAGACTTAAAAGCACAGCTCCTTTCTGCTTGTAACACAAAGCTGCATGTCAAGAAGCCAGGGACTCTGCTCAGAAGGGGATGAGGGCTGCTAGGGGGAATGGCGACCATGGGTGCAAGCCAGAGCTTCGCTAACAGTAGAGAAAGTCTCTTAAGAACAAGGCTGGTAGGAGAAACACAGAAACCCTTCCTCTTTCCCATCACAGAATTCAGGGCTTCTGTTTGCACCCGGCAGAGAGCATCTGCTCTCAGGATTGGAACAGGAGCATCAGATCAGCCCCAGCTCCATAGTGCTGAGAGGAAAAGCCCATTTCTGTGGTGGCAGCGGGGGGGAGAGGGAGGAAAGCAGAGGCTGAAATTCCAGTCCCTGCTCCAAGGACTGTTTATACATATCTATATGTAACGAGCCTTGGATGAAATGCATAAACAGTCCTTGGGGCAGGGACTGGAATTCCTGCCTCCCTGCAGCCCAAGAAGAGCCAAACCTTCTCTGCACCTCTCCAGCCCCCCTTAGCAAGGACCCCCATCCCACCAGCCCTTACTGACAGGATGGACAGCATGAGCCAGAACCCCCCTTCAGACCCCAGGAAGTCTCCCATCGTGGGTCAGGTTTACTTTTTATTGGATATCAGAAGCTAAAAGTTGAGAACACAATTCAGACAGGATTGCTGTGCGTCCGGCAGGCAACCAGAGCTCCCAGAGCAGCAAGGAGCAGGATGGCCAAGCCAGCAGCCAGCCCCAGCCCCACGTGGCTTCCAGCACCTGCAGAGGAGAAGCCAAAGGTGGTCAGAAGCAAAGATGGGCCCACGCCCCATCTTCATTACCCACCTGCTGAGGGCACCCTGCCTGCTGGGTGCTGCTGGTGGCCATGGATGAGCAGAGGGCCCAGCATCACGTTTGCTTCTCCCAGTGTGGGACCCAGGGGCAGCTCTCTGCGGGATCGTCTTCCTCTGTGCTGATGGGACGGGCTGAAGGGCTGCAGGGAGCGCCGTGCTGTGCCACAGCTCTGTGTCTCACAGCACGAGCACACAGCCCTCGTGCCCTCCACAGGCGCCCAGCTGGAAGAGAGCCTGGTCACCAGCCTGCTCTATAGCAGGGACCCCACTGACGGGCAGCCCAGAAGCACATCCCAGCTACTCACAGCCCGCTGGGTTTGTGGAAGGAGCAAGCCTTGTTCTGAGGGTCTGGAGGTTGGCTGGCTGGGGAGACCTTCAGGTGGCAGGTGATGTAAAGCTGAGAGACCAAGCAGCAGGGTGAGGTGGTTGGTCAGCTCAGAGGCACACACATGGCTTCCCCATGCCCTGTGAGGGACCACTATCTCCCCGAGGCACTCCAGACACCACTGCTTCTTTCAGAACACTGAGTGCAGCCGTTCAAGCTTAACCTAGGGGGGCTTGTCTTGACCAGAACCATTACCCAAGGAGGAGCCTGGGCTCACAGGGCTACGATCAGAAGCAGTAACACCCCATCCATGTGTTTCTACGAGGGGACAGACTCTAACAGAGTCTGTTGAAGGGTAGGACAAGGGGGAAATGGATTCAAACTAGAAGAGAAGAGATCTATATTGGATGTAAGGAAGTTTTTTTTTGCACTAAGGGCAGCGAGGCACTGGCCCAGATTGCCCAAAGAGGCTGTGGTGTCCCACCCCTGCAGACACCAAGCTCAGGCTGGAGGGCTCTGAGCACCTGATGTGCTGTGGGTGTCTCTGTGCATTGCAGGGGCTGCACTGATGGACTTTAAGGGTCCCTTCCATCTCAAATGAGTAGGAATACTTTCCCAACACAACCCCATAGCTGCACTGACTCACACCGTGGCACGAGGTTGGACAACATCTAAACAAGGGAGTTCACCATCTTGGATTTACCAGGCTGCTGGAGTCTCCTGCAAACTTGAACACATCTACTGCAAACTGAAGCACATCTAGCCGGGGCCTTGGGGATATAAAAGTCGAGGTAGCATCATCCAGCCGCCCATCCACCATGCACCTAGGTACAAACAAAGGTCAGCCAGATGGCTGAGAGCCAGGGCTCCGAGAGGTGAGCCAAGAGCTGGGCACAGGCAGCTCTTACCCGCTGAAGTCAATGAATGCATACTGGGGAGAGGAGCCCCTGTCTGGGCTGGGGGTGGCCACACAGCTGTCCACAAAGAGCCTCAGAGGTGCGTGGTTCCCCACGCTGACACTCGCCTGCATGTGGAGGACCTCCCCCAGCTGGAACACAGTAGAGGCCCTCTCGGTGCTCCAGTCATCTGGAATGAAAGGAAGACAGTTCACTGCTCACACACAAGGAACCCTATGAGGACACAAGGCCCTGGAGCTGCCAGTCCTGCTCTGCCACCTGGGGAGCTCACCCATCCCACGAACCAGAGGGGATCCCTGCTCCAAACCTACCGTTCATTAGGTGCAAGGAGAAGAGCAGCTTCTGCTCAGAGGAGAGGGTGGAGTGGAAGGGTGCCCATGTGGGCTGGATGGCGTGGCTGCTCACATTGCTCCTCCTGGGGAGTGATGCTTGTGATCAGAAGGCTCCGCTGCTGCAGGAGGGCTTGGTGCCCATCCACATCAACTCACCTTGGGTAGTGGCACTCAATTGGAACCACAGCTGGGCTGGTGCGGATGACAACAGGGTTGCCAGCGTGGACTGGGTTGTAATTCAAGCTTGTGCTGTAGATGAGAGCCTCAGGGGTGACCTGGGGAGAGGCAGATTGCATGATGCAGTCACCAAGAACCCTCCTCCTCCAGCCACCCAAGTGGAGCCCCACAGCCTCTCCCAGGAGATTGAGCTTTTTTCAGAGCAGCTTCATGCCATTCTGTAACAATCAAAAGATCAGTGCTGTGGAATGGGCATACAGGAGGTGTCATAACAACGGGACTAATGCAATGGAAAGGGGTTACAAAGAAAAAAGGAAAGGCTTCTCCTGTCCCTGAAGATCTAGGCTTGCAGGGAATACTCCGCAAGGGAGGGATCTCCAACCAGAGATCCTCCTCCAGTGGCAGTCAGCCCCTAAATGAGGTCAAAGAGAGGTGCAGCCAAAATCCACCCTTCCTATCACACAGCTGAATTGCCTTCACCTGTGCTGCCAGGTTCCTTTCCCCAGGTGCTCAATCAGTGGTTCAGGCTGTGACTCAACAGTTACCATACACATGCTCTAGCAACAGCAGGCAGCACCCAGACTTCCCTAAACTCACTGTCAGCTGCTGGTACTCTGCAGCCTTCAGAGAGGAACTGAGGCTCCCAGCTATAAGGAAAACCTTGTAATTGTTTCCCCAAGCACAGAGCCCAGCCACTGTGCTCCATTAAGTGTTGCATCAGAGACACCAGCAGGCTAAAGAAGCTTCAGCAGCGCCAAGCCTGCCCTTGGCTATGTGAAGTAACGAGCACTGGGAGGGCTGGCAGCTGCTTCCTCTTTGGGTTTGCTTCTCTTTAGGTTTGCTTCCAACCCTTCTAAACAAATGGGAAGAAACCAGGCAGAACTTCCCAGTTAAACACCCAAAGGCTCAGCATCCCTTGCTACACGGCACCCCAAGGTGCAAACAAGGAGTCAGCCCCCACCCGTGGCCCCCAGCCTTACCCTGAGGGTGCTGCCACACTCATGCAGCCCAGCCGTGAAGGTCACCACGTTCTCAGCAGCATTCTGGGCTGTGGCCGGGCAGGCAGCCGTACCCAGGGTCAGGTCTGCAGCCCGGACCAGGCGCCCGGTACCAAAGAGGTCCCTGTGCACTGTGACCACCATCTGAGCCTCCTGGCACCACACAGACACGGGGTGCAGTGGGGATGCAGCCTGGAGCTGGGACACGTCCACCCATGCCCATGGGGAGGGCAGGGAGAAGGCATGGGGCTGCCCCAAGGACTGAGCCCCCCACAGCTCCGTCTCCCCTCGGAGAAAGCCCCAGGAGCTGTAGGCAGCTCCCATCTCCAGGAGGCAGCAGAAAAGAGCAAAGCCCAGGCAGCTCAGGAGCCTCATCCTGCCTGCCAGAGCCCAGCATAAGGGGCAGGGGCTGCCCAGGGCTTTTTGTAGCCCTCACTCCTATCAAAGATAATTGGCAGCACCCAGTCCCCTGGGGATGGTGTTAATTAGCTAACAAGGAGCTGGTGTCAAATGTGCTGTGCAGCTAACTGCAGTTTCTTTTTAACATCTTTTCTGGTAATAAGCAGCCCTGCAAGATCTCCCAGGAGACGTGTCCCAACTCCAGACCAGGTACCTACAAGATCTGTTTGAGAGATGGGCACAAGTCTCCCCTTTTCTCTGATGCAGCATTTAAGGGCAGATTCAGGTCTGGAAACGTCTTATCCCTTTACTAACTTGGGATATCTTTTACAGATCAGGTGTAGGTAGTTATCTTGTCTGCTTTTAGCTTGGAGAAGGCTCTGGGGAGGCTGTGACTGCCCTCAGCCACGTCGCTCGCTGTGACAACTCCAACAGCTGTTGAGCCCCTCCAGGGGCAGTGACTGCCCCACCTCCCTGGGCAGCCTGTGTCAATGCATTATCACTCTTCCAAAGAAGAAGTATTTCCTGATACCCGACCCGAACCTCCCCTAGCACAACTTGAGGTGCATCACCTCTCATCCTGTCACTGTTACCTGGGGCAGAGGCCGACCCCCACTTCGCCACGACCTCCTGTCAGGGAGTTGTATTGGGCAGAGGTCTACCTGAGCCTCCTCCACACTGAACATGGGCATGGGGAGTAAAGCAAAGTATTTGCAGCAGGTGACAAAGCAAAGAAACAATTTATTTCATCTGCATGCATACACAGAAAGGGCAATTAAGGTCATTGCCCCATCAGGCAACGGCCTGGCTGGCATTGTGTTTGGAGAGTGCTCACTTTGGGCGTTTGAACCGCAAACCCAGGTTGCATCCCACGCAGGGCAATGGGGTGGGATTGGTGAGGAGTACCGTTCATCTGTCTTGCTTAGTCTTTGTAGCCTCCAGCAACCCATCGTGTACTGAGGTCTGGCTGCTACCCGCCAGCGGCTGCTGCTGGAAGTAGGCCTTGATCTTGCTCAGGTGACGGACCTTCTTCTCAGAGGGATGCCTGTGGGCATTGACCAAGGCGCACATCTTGGGGAGACCCCTGGCGGGGTCGCACGCGAAGCAGGCGTGCAGCTCGGGGAGGCCGACGCCATGGGAAGCCAACGTCTGGGCCGAGGGCCGGCTGAGCAGCTTCTTGTCCAGCAAGGGTTGCAGGGACATGAAGGACTCCAGGCTGGCAGGGCTGAGGAGCTGCGTGGGTTTGTTCTCCAGGTCGATCTCCAGGACGTTGCACAGGTCCATCATGGCGCTCGCACTTTCCAGGGTGCTGCAGTTGCTCAGGTCCCGCCACAGCAAGTTGCTGGCCAAGTTCTTCAGCTTGCAGCTTTCCTTCTCGGGGACCTTCTCCTTGATTAGGGGTAGAACATCCAGGAAGCCGTAGATCATGGAGAGGAACTCCTTTTTCTTGCCAATGGCCGTCAGGCTTTTCAGGAGGGTGGGAAGGGGCAGTGACCAGAGACTAAAGGCAGCCAGGATGGGCCTGCGGATGGTGCTGAGGTGGCTAAGCAGATCCCTCAGGCCCACCTCGTAGCTGCTAGTTTTGGCCGTCGAGTTGGGCAAACGCATCGTGGGCTGAATGAGGACTGAGAGTATTTTCTCTTTATCGACCACCGCCATCTGAATGACTTCATTTTCTGGAGAGGTCGAGGGAAAAGCGAAAGAGGAGGAGAGAGGAAGAACAGGAACAATTAACCTCCTATTCAGCACGGAAATAAAACACTGAGTCACTCAGCCTTTAACAGCCCCCTGTCTGTCTCAAAAGCAAGGCCCTTAGCGGCTCAAGAGGTTGTCCTCCCTCTTACATCACCAAGCCTATGGCAGAAATATCTGAACTTCATAGAATCGTAGCATCATTAAAGTTGGAAAGACAACTAAAATCATCCAGCCCTGTACCTGTAACCACTCTAGACCATGTCCCACGGTGCCACATCTATCATTTTCTTGAACACCTCCAGGGACAGTGACTCCACCATCCCTGAGGGCAGCTCGTGCCAATACCTCACAAAGCTTCCCAACTTCTGCCCACCCCAAATAAATCAGAAGTGATGCTGCCATACGTGGGGATCTAAGGCAGCTTCAACATGGCATACTCATTACAGAAGATGTTCCCACTTAGGATCTTACTCCAAATCTTAACGTCAAAGAAGATCACGGTTCCTTGTCCCACATCCAGCGTGTTCTGGAGGCAGATGGGAAGGTGTGTGTTGTCATTGCTGGTGCCATCCTCAAGCATATCATCTAGCAGACTGGGGTCCTGGTGGAGCAAACGACTAGCTTTTAATAAACATCTCAGGAAGAACCAGGGCAGCAGCTCAGGGTGTTTGTGCGTCCTAGAGGTGACCAAAGGGATCTATTCAAACTAACTGCTGGACGACTTGGAGTGACCTGCTCGGAACCTTACCGAGTAGCATTCTGCTCTAAGATGACAGGAAAGATGGGGCTATCACAGAGTTGAAGGGTTCTGACAAAAGTATTTCGGCTATCAGGAAGGATTTCAGAAGTTCTTTGCCAGGATGTTAACTCACCAGCAACTCCTCATCCATGCTGTCCTCTTCATCACTGCCCAAGTTGAGAAGGTCGCTATCTGCCCAGAGAGAAAAGACATATCACCTTTAGGACACAGGACTGTCTGACCTGCAGTGAGCACAAGGGCCAACTGACCCCCTGTCAGCATCATCAGCTGAGCTGAGGTGCCCTGGGAGCAAAGAGGTAATGGGGGGCAACCATCTGAACAAGAAGATGCGTTGAGATGTGACTAGCATCCTGGGAACTTCTTGGGGATGCTGCAAACTGAAAACCCCAGAACCCACCTGATGCCTGCAGGAGCATCGTTTACCTGAGTCATGCATCTCATCGCTGCTGTCTGGCATGATGTTCAGCAGGCAACCTTCCCTGCTGGCAGCCATAGTGGGTGCAGAAAAGCTGGTCTGGGGTTGGGGCAAGCAGTTTGGTTCCTGTGGCACCACTGACGTGCTCCACTCATTGTCGTCCTTCTCAACCTTTATCACTTTTGCAGGAAGTTGCAGCGTGGTGGTGCTTTCATCTTTCTTCCTCTTGGCAGGGTTGGAGGTCAATGGGACCTGAGTGGGCAAAGCAGAGCTCAGTGAGCATCCCCGTGTGGCCAGGGATGTCCTTTGCTGCCAGAGCACAACTACACAAGTCCGAGGGAAAGGCTGAGGATCCTCAAGGCACTCGTTTTTGAACCCAAGGAAAGAACCTCAAAGTAATGACACCGAGACAGGCACAATGATGCACGGTCCTTGCTTTGGTGAGCAAAACCAGTGTGCCAGCCTGGGGCTGTGATGGGACCACACAGGGACCAACAGAGGACCTGAGGCAAGGGGCGGAGGTGGAGGCCATGAATAGGAGATGCAGGGGTGCTTGGAGATGTCGTGGGAAGCCCTGGCATTTGGGACGGCTTGTGGTGAGAGCAAAAAGCAGATCTCACCTGGTGGGAGCTTTCCGTGGTGGCTGGAGCGGGGGCAGCTTCTGAAAGAACAAAAAACACAGTGGGATGAGGAGGGTGAGCAGTGCTGGAGGTGTCTGAGAGGGACGGGTGTTGCAAAACCCTCTGCAGGAGGTGCAGGTGGCTGTGGGGCCGTGTCCCCTCTGCTGCCACGGGGATGCTGGAGACACGAGCAGTCCTGAGCCCCACTGGGAGATGCTGCAGAGGCCAAACTCAAGCCGTGAGGCTGGGCTGGTAAAATGCTCGCTCATTCAGCCGCCCACATGTGCTGGAAAGCTGAAAAGGCCATTAGTAGCATCATGCAATGAAGTTGCTGTGATTTGGTAGCTGGGGACATGCCATAGGAATGCTTTCCAGCAATGCTCAGGATGTGGCCGTGGACGTGTTCAAACCATTTGTTGGGGGAAGTGGGACACAATTTGGGAAGCTCTCAGGAGAGCCCTTTTGGGCTGCGACACCAGCAAAAGACAAATGCTCAGCCTAGGAGGATTTTATTGGCACAGCAAGTGAGGTGGGGAGCTTGGTCCCTGCAGCGACTTTCCATGGGTTTTTTAGGCATCCTGGTTTGCAGATGGAGCCCAATCCTCACTGCTCTCCTGCGGTATTATTGCACACCGTTTCCCCTCACTTCTTCCTCCTCTTCCTGGGGCCAGCAGTGTGCTTCCAGTTTCGCTTGCCCCTGCTGGGATGCTCTTCCTCCAGCACTGGGCTGGGGGCCTTGGGTGATGGTGACCTGGCGGGGGGCTCGGCAGCAGGTGGAGATGCTGCAGGACCCCGATCCGTTTCATTCTGCTGCGAGGTGCTGGGGTAGAACAAATCCAGCAGGTTGGAGGGCAGCGAGGGCTCCTGTGGGGTGAGCACAGATCTGGGGTCCTGAGGCCTCGGTTGCAGCATTGTCCCCATAGAGGAGGCGATGGCACTGAGGGAGCGGGCCATGGAGTGCACCCCACGGGACAGGGACACCAGGTGTTTGTTCTGTCTGCGCTGAGCCTGCAGCAGGCAAGCGGTGACCCCCAGCAGCTCATCCATGTGCTGCAGTTGTGCCCTGGCCCAGCAACCAAAATCTTCCTGCAGGGTGGCCAGGGAGGCCTGGAGGCTCTTGGGGAGAGATGTGGTGTCCCCAGCAGCACTGGGAGGTGATGCTGAGCCTTCCTCTGCTCCTTCATCCCGCTGTGCAGCAGGGGTGGGTGGTGTGGAGGGTGCCTCTCCTCCTGGGCTATGGGGGTGAGGCTGCAGGTCGAGGGTCGGAGTGCTGCTGTCCTCAGATGGCGTGTCCTGCTGGGGGACAGCGGGACCTGCTGTGGGGAACGGGGCTGAAGGGAGCAGGAGAGGGAGCTTAGTGAGGACAGCATGGATGGAGCGCTCAGCAGATGGCAGCACACCGGGGCCCAGGGACAGAGGCGCCCCGTGTGCATGCCACACTTCTTGGAGAGGACAACCCCAGCCCTCCTGCACACCCGCATCCACATGCCACTCACCTTCCCCAGCCCAGGGCACAGATGACTTACCATCATCCCTCCCCTTACAGTGCACTGGGGGCTGGGTGCACGCAGCAAGCCCACCATTGCTTTGGCAGCAACGGAAGCAACGGTGGCATCCCAGCCTCGGAGCGAGGGCAGCAACCACCGTCCTCCAAGTGGGAGGAGATGTGAATCCCAACGTAGGACACCCAGCCTGGCTTTCGGCCTCCACCCAGCTCTGCGGAGCAGCGTGCCCACATCTCACCTTGCAGCCCCTCGATGCGCTCAGCCAGCGCCTGCAGCCTGCCACGGCACTCGGCAAAGTCCTCGTGCAGCCCCAGCTCCCCATCCGCCGCCGGCCGCTGCCTCCGCAGCTCCTCCAGCGCATCCTTGACAAAGGGCTGCATGTCCATCACCTCCTGCTCCGTGGCATAGAGGCCCATCTTCTCCACCAGCCTCTCGCCCGCCTCCATCCTCCGCAGCACGGCCTCCACGCGCCGCAGCTCCCTCTCCAGCTCGCTGCGGCTCTTCTCCTGCCTCCTCTCCACCGTGGCCAGCAGCTCCTTCTCCTCGTGCCGGATCAGCCTCACCAGCTGCTCCACGCGCTGCCTCACCAGCTCCCGCACCTCGAGCCCCGCCGCCTCCAGCCGCGACGCCTCGTCCTGCAGCGCCGCACGCGACGCCTCGAAGCCGCCCCGCTGCCCCGCCAGCTCCTGCCCCAGCGCTGCCAGCTCGTCCCGCCGCAGCCGTGCCTCCGTGCTGACGTCGCAGTGCTGCCCGCTGTGAGCGGCGTCCAGCAGAGCGCAGATGCAGCACACCGCCCTGCAGCACTGCTTGCAGTAGATGCTGTCGAGGTGAGAGGAGGCGGAGCAGCCGAGATGAAGGGAGCAATGTAAGAACAGAAGGAGTTGTTTACTCAAAGGGCGGTGAGGCGCTCAGAGAGGTGTGGGTGCCCCATCCCTGGAGGTGCCTGAGGCCGTGGATGGGGCTGTGGGCAGCCTGATTCCATGGCAGGGGTTGGAGTTGGGAGGGCTTTAGGACCCCTTCCATCCTATGCCATTCTATGAACCTCTAATTCTATAATCATCTGTTCTTAGAATCATAGAATGGTTGGGTTGGAGGAGACCTTAAAGCCCAACCAATTCCAGCTCTTCACCATGAGCTGGCTGCCCCCCATGAGCTCAGGCTGCCCAGGGCCCCATCCATGGCTTCGGGCACCTCCATGGATGGAGCACCCACAGCACCTCCGGGCAACCTTAGACATTCCACCCACTGCCTTCCTGGCCTCCAGCAGCCTCCTCATCCTCATCCTCATCCTCATCCTCATCCTCATCCTCATCCTC